TCTAATATATGGTTGACGTATGTTGAATTTGTTTCCTTTTTCTGAAAATTCATCTTATGTTCATGAATGCGCTGATCAAACGTACGACTTGTCTGACCGATATATACCTTAGGACAAGATCCACAGTTGAGTTTGTATACCCCTGATCTTTCTAATTTAGAAGTTTTGTCTTTATTATTTTTGATAAACCTTCCCAACCTGTTATTTGTTCTATATCAAGTCCTGTTTATGTAGAAATGAAGCTAATTTTTCAGTTGATGGTCCGAAATAGGTTAAAGTTCTATAATTTTGATTATCATTCTTGATGGTAGGATAAACTTCTTGAATAGCTTTATAATGAAGTTTTTTAGAAAGAATACTGTCTATCAGATTAACGTTGTATCCGTTGTTGACTGCAATCTGTTTTATAATATTGAGTTCTTTATTGAAATTTACTTCTGAAAGAGGGACATTCACTAGCCTGTGTATCATACTATTATATGCTGCAATTTTATGTTGATAAGGGTGTGTTGAATTGTTATGAATAGTGATATCAATTTTTCATAAACCTTCCCACACTGATATGATGTTTATTTACCTAATGTTAACTTATTGCTACATTATTTCTGTAATTTTTTTTTCAATTTTTTTTTATTATGAGTGATAGTATAATCTGATAGGTATTTTGAGCCGATACCACTCGATACATCTAGAAATCATACGTATTTGTTGTGAGAAATGTATGCGATTAGAACAAACCCGAAAAAAATTTGTCAATCCGTATCGCTGACTGTACTAGGCTAGGTACCGCAACTGCCAATTTTCACAGAGAAATTTTCGAAGTCGTTAAAATTTCTTTGAAATGGTCACACACGAATTGTCAAACTCTAATTATTATCCATATACTAAGATTGTAAATTTGTCTCGAAATACCCCGTACTAATTGTTTAATTTCCTATGGTATATTATATTTATATCCAGAGCCCGTATTCCTGGATAAGGTGATTAGTCATAAAATTTGAACAATTTGAATTTGATTCACACTGTTCGCTAGCCCAGTCCTTCAGCTATAAGCTCGTCTTTTTTTAAAACATGAGGTTGGTTCTTCATATAAACTCGCTACAGGGTGTCATCTGAAACTGTGAAAAATTTTTGGATTGCCAAAAGGATCCCAAATGAACGAAAACTTTCTTTTTTCAACTTTGACAGCAGATTACCTCGAGACATTTTTCGAATTGTCTTATTATCACTTTTACTTACAGAGTGATATCGGAAAATTACTTTTTAGGTTTTGCAGTCATAACATTTCTCCTTCCCAACCGATTTTTAAAATCTCAGGCTCATTCTGAAGATGAAACTTCAGATGGAGAGATATGAAGATCAGAATTGACTCAAGATGAACATTGCACAGTGTGTCTCACTTCTAATGGAAGCATCCCTGTATCTTTCGTATTTGTTGAGTTAAGATTCTGAAATTTGCAGGAGCGGTAGATATACACTGAAAGTACACACTATGACCAAGTGGAGTCATCTTCAGTGATATGGTTGAGTTCACATGACAAAAATCAACTTGACGGTTAGTATTTTTCACAGTTGGGTGAACATATACCTAGTATATAAGCAGCACACTAGAATAGTATATTTAGTTTTAATCTTCTCCTGAAGATGCTAACATAGTTAGCGAAACACGTGTCGAGGCGTTAAAAAATCGGTTTGGTTAGTGGTAAAACAGTGTAGTGTATTATCGTGCCAAAGGTTCCAGTCTTCGATATACTCTTATTATGTTTTATCTCGTGTTTCATCCAACGACAGGACTCTAATCTTTATGATAAATTGATTATAATTGGTGACTTGACAACGTTGCTTCATGAGTGGAAATGAAAGATTATTTTTGCAGTATTGCTGTATCATTGCAGAGAAAAGGGTTGTTTATCTGCCTGCCTCGTCTTCATTGAGATAGTTGATGAATTGATGGATTACAAAATATATCGCGTTCCAGTTACGAATGTTGAAAACAATATCCAATAATCTATGTAGGTCTCACGATTCAAATTTGAAATTGATCCTTAGTTTTAGATCCGAGCAGCACATTGTTTGGCCTTCAAGGTCCTTAATATAACCCACGTAATTGAACATGTTGAAGATGCCCACTGGAAAAACGACTATACGGAAAGAAAGCGGATATGTAGCAATCTAGTTACGGACGTTGAAAATATTATTCAGGTATGTCTCAGATTACATCTATGTATTTCCTCTAATGATATTTTCTGATTCAAATGTACTTCGATTCAAATGTGATGATGTTCAGTTGCAGATCCAAGAAGCAGTGTTTGATACTTGCCACTCAATCGGAGAAAACCATCCAGTAAATACGTACCGAACAGAAGTTCCGCAAAGAGAACTGACCAGAGTATACTTTATAGAATTCAGATCATTATATTCGTACGGAGGGCGATATATTGATTACCTTTCCAGATTCTCAGGCAGACAGATAGACAGATATTCAGCTTTATGTCTCTATGGAAACACGACAGGTATCCTTACGAGGGGAGAGTATCAACTCGGCGTTCATAAACCCTCTCTGCAAAGGAGGTAGGCGCATGGTGGGTTAGGTATATACAGTGTTCTTCATTGCAGAGAAAATTGTTGTTTATCTGTCTGTTTCGTCTTCATTGAGATAGTTGATGAATTGATGAATTACAAAAATATATCGCGTTCCAGTTATGAATGTTGAAAACAATATCCAGACTTTCCATAGATTCATATTCTATGGAGGTCTCACGATTCAAATTTGAAATTGATGCTTAGTTTTAGATCAGAGCACCACATTGTTTGGCCTTCAAGGTCCTTAATATAACCCACGTAATTGAGCATGTGGAAGATGCCTACTGGAAAAACCACTATACGGAAAGAAAGCGGATATGTAGCAATCTAGTTACGGACGTTGAAAATATTATTCAGGTATGTCTCAGATTCAACATCTATGTATTTCCTCTAATAATATTTTCTGATTCAAATGTACTTCGATTTCAATGTGATGTTTAGTTGTAGATCCAAGAACCACTGTTTGATACTTGCCACTCAATCGGAGAAAACCACCCAGTCAAGACGAACCGAACAGAAGATCCGCAAAGAGACCTGACCAGAGTATACTTTACAGAATTCAGATCATTATATTCGTACGGAAAGCGATATATTGATAATCGTTCCAGATTCTCAAGAAAACAGATAAGACGGATATTCACCTCTATGTCTCTATGGAAACACGACAGGTACCCTTACGAGGGGAGAGTATCAACTCGGCGTTCATAAACCCTCTCTGCAAAGGAGGTAGGCGCATGGTGGGTTAGGTATATACAGTGTTCTTCATTGCAGAGAAAATTGTTGTTTATCTGTCTGTCTCGTCTTCATTGAGATAGTTAATGAATTACAAAAATATATCGCGTTCCAGTTACGAATGTTGAAAACAATATCCAATATTCTATGTAGGTCTCACGATTCAAATTTGAAATTGATCCTCAGTTTTAGATCCTAGCAGCACATCGTTTGGCCTTCAAGGCCCTTAATATAAGCCACGTACCTAATTGAAAATGTGGAAAAACACTATTCGGAAAGAAAGCGGATATGTAGCAATCCAGTTACGGACGTTGAATATATTATTCAGGTATGTCTCAGATTCAACATCCATGAAATTCATCTAATGAAATTTATTTTCAGATATGAATGAACTTCGATTGATATGTGATGTTCTGTTGCAGATCAGAGAAGCAGTATTTGATACTTGCCACTCAATCGGAGAAAACCATCCAGTCCATACGAACCAAACAGAAGATTCACAAAGTGAACTGACCAGAGTGAACTCATGGTGACTACTTATGTTATATACTTGGTATATTATGATTTGATAGTCTGACATTGATGACATTTTTATAATATAATTACAACTCGAAGCCTTATAATTTGTATCGATTGTATCCACAATTTGGTGACCCTGACGTGATATTATGGAGCAGTTGAACGAAGGCGAAATCATACAAATTTTAAGACATTTCAACATTCATGTTAGTGATTCCATGGAATTTTCGGATATGAAGGAAATGCTGACAGAGTACATTAAAAGAACTTATATGGACCAATTCCACGAAGCCGACTACAGGAGCATTCTTTCAGAGATTTCATCAAGAATCATACCAAATGATGTTTCGAATACTATTTTTACGAAGAAGATCGATAGACTTGAAGAATTGTGCGAAATTTTGATCGTCGAAATAATAAAAAATATGATTCTTTGGAAGCAAGACTCGATATTTTGGAAAAACATCGTGAAAGTTCAACATTTCCAAACAATATCATGCCTCATGACATCATCTACTGAGAAGACACATCAAGTGGACATTCCAAGAAAGAGCAAGAATCAATTAAATCAATCAACCTACCAACTTTCTGGAAACATGAGCCTGCATTATGGTTTAATGTTGCTGCTATGGTAACGATACAAAATACAGGCTTCAAATTGATCGAAAATGTTAGGTGTGAAATTTTCATAATAATTTTTTACGAAAAATAATAGATAGGTGTTTTAAAGATATTTGATTTCATCGATTGATTGTCTTTATTACCCCAAGAAATATTATTGTTAGATGCCAATATTCATTGAAGCAACTGTATATTAATTTGAAAATTCAGTGGTTTGATACAAAACAACTAAGTACCTTGATTATCAACTGAAAATGATATAAATTATAAATAGTTTCATATTCACATCATGATATTTATTCCGTTATTTATTTAACAGTGAAAGAATTGATGATGATAATAATGACATAGATAAAGAAGATTGAATTACAAAAAAAAGCAATTTTTTTTTCTCGAGTTTGATAATATTTTATGATGCTGTTTTCGATCATTCAATTGAATCTTAATAGCAACAATTGTAAAATCTATTGGTAACAAAAATATATAAGAATAAAATTCAAATGAAACCAACATAATGAAAATAGAAAATAAAACAAATAACTTACGGACTTTCAGAACGAGGTGGGGTTGGAGGCTTGCTTGAATTTGAGGCAATCAAATTTTCACAAGCAATTTCAATTTTGTCCATCAAAGGAAACAATTTTTTCAAGCTAATAAACAAAAAAGAAACAATAAATTATAATGAATAAGAAACTGAAAACCAGAAAAATCACAACTAATATTGATAATAGGTATGTCACGACGAGTTACACTATCTTTATATTATCCAGAACACGCTCTCTTCATTTAAAATATTTTCGATAATGCAGTGTTACCGCTTCTACTAGAAAGTAGTAGCAACATTGATATTTCAAATGGTACACCCTGTATTTTATCGCATTTTCAGATTCTCCCTGAAGAGCTGATTTTATCGATATATTGATTGATTGATTGTCTTTATTACCCCAAAAAACATTTCTGTTTATGATAGGGCATATAAAAAAATAATAATAAAGGGTTAACTAATGAATTCCACTCGGTGGAAACGAATTAATATTGTTTCTCAAGATTAAAGTTATATTTCATCTCTAAGTAATCAAATCATGCCACATATTTTTCATTCAAATTGCCCTAAGCAAGTATTTTTAAGATTGATTTAAACCTTCTTGCATCATGTACATTTTTCAACTCATTCGGTAATGCATTGTATAAAATTATTCCATTGTGAAAAACAGATTGTTTGCCGATGTATGACTTGAATGTATTCGCTATCAAGTAATTCAATTGTCTAGTCCCATAATTATGGACTGTATTGACTTCATTGACAGCTAAATTTGATATTTTCAATTTATTCCTGGCAAAATGAATAAAGCAACATATTTTAAGTTTATATAACGACATCAGGTTCAGAAAATGTCTTGGTTTGTATAAATTTATCGTTGGTTCTAGAAAATGTAAATGAAAAATGCACTTGATTGATTTGTTTTGTGATTCCATTAGTGGTTTCACACTGGGGTCTATCGAAAAACATTACAGAGATATAGTGTGTTTTTTCAAATTTAGGATTTTTTTGTGTTGAAACTATTCATTATCGATCAAAACGGCTCACATGTCCCAATCTCAACTATTGATTCACTATTTACTGATATTCAATCGGAACAGATACAGGGTGGTACAAGATTCAGAATTCTGATCACCCTGTATCTGTTCCGATTAAATATCAGTAAATAGTAAATCAAAAGTTGAGACAGAGACATGTGACCCATTTTTGCCGATAATGAATTGTTTCAACACGAAAAAATCCTTATGTTGAAAAATCTCGATTTTGAACACCCTATAGATAGACCCCAAGTTTGATGTATCCACGAAATCAGCTCTTCAGGGAGAATCTAAAAATGCAATGAAATACAGGGTATTTTATTTGAAATAACAAAGTTGTTATTTTTTTATAGAAGCGGCAACACTGCATTGCTGAAATCATTTTAAATGAAGAGAGCGTATTCTAAAATATGAGCATGTATATTTTCATGTATTTCTCCCGACTGATTCTCGATATAGAGATAGTGTGAGCTCATCTTGACATAACCCTGTATTATCTAAAATGCATTGTCAAATTTTAACGTTTTGTAGGAAAAATATTTGATAAATTAATTGGTCATTCCCAATACTGTACCGACATGTAATTAACTCAAGACTGGACCCAGTGAATGTTGGAAAATCGCCAAATATACAGGGTGACATTGAAATAAGTGCAAATATTTCAAAAACTGAGAAAGCTCGACGTGTACTATCGAATGGCATTAATAAAAAAATGTAGGGATCAAAATAGAATTTGAGGTTAGACCCCTTCTTCCACCCAAAGTTGTACACTGTAGCAAATCTGACGTCACCTCTGTTCAAATTTCCATGTGGTAGGCTCACGCGGAGTTCAAACATTTGAATTGTTTTAAAGTGGCGTACTTGAATTTTTTCTCGTATTTTGTTCAATTTTTGGGATGAAATTTCTTGTTAACTAGAAGAATTAGAAAAAATCTGATATCATGGAAATATTCCTTAGACTGTATCATATCAATGTGCAGAATATGTGCACTTATTTCAAAAACACCTTGTGTATTTTGATATATTTTCCAAATACTCATGAAAAATGTTGACACATCTATTGAGCACTTACGTTTCTGCTTTATTTTTGGGCCGATACGTATCTAATTCGTCTTCCAAGTCGCTCACCCTCGCTTTGAGTTCATTACGTTCGTGAAGAATGTCTTTGAGCTCTTGCGTCGTGAATCTCGGCCTATTCGGATCGTCTAAATCGAACACAGCTTTGTTGCTGGGTATGGGAAGGTCAGTCTATAAGTCAGAAATCATCTACACTCACCGACAAAAAAAAACCGGTCACCAAAAAATTTGCCCAAACTGTTCAGCCTGTAACTTTTTTAATCCTTGTCTGATTTCTGTGAAATCCTGATCAAATCGTAGATTTATATTCCGGAATGTTGGCCTAAATATTAGTTTTCCTGAAAGGCTGATGACTTGATCATTATCAACGCCCTTTGGCAAAATTGCGTGGTTGGACTTGGCTTGATTATGCTTCGGATCAAAGTGTGATCCATTCTCAACACAATAGTTTTTGATTGCCATCAATATCTTATTTTTAAGAGATGATACGAGTGTTTCAAGAAAATATGGTATTTTTCGCTAATAATCAGAACCTACATGAACTTATTGATTAACAACTTGAAGAATCAATATCACTTATTTCTACCTCACTTTCTTAGAATTTAGCACGGAAAATTAATTACATAAAACAAACAAGTAGCAGACGGCTAGGCAATATAACGAGTATGCTCTCCTCGAGGTTGAATGGGCTTATATCACAAAAAAAAATTATTTCATAATTCGATAGTACTCACCCAAACTAGCTCACCACCGCAAACCGTTTCTCGCTGTGAGCTCCCTACGTTTTAAAAAAAAAATTATTGAAATCCCCGATTTTTCGGACTTCTGAAAACGAGGCGATGATGTGACGTCAAAACCCTAATACTGAAACAAGACTATTCCAGACAGAGATGAATGATAAATGATTTCTGACAGAATGAATTAGCGCGAGATCACAGTTGAAAGAATTAATATATCAGTTGCCTCAGTCTCCGTCGGGCGTTTGGTATTTTCTTTTGACTATGGCGAGATGAGGTTTCTATACGTCATAAGAGGGTCCGTTTTCAGAAGGTACTATTTTTTATGTCAAAAAATAAAACATTCCAGTTAATTTGTCGATCGAATTATGTCGTCAATCATTATTTATGTATAAAAGGATCATTATAAACATGGTTTGAGTTGAAAGTTCTACTAAGGTGTACACGCCCAACCGCCGTGGCATCGAATTGATCAAATTTCTCAAGTAGTCTTGAAGAATTGCCTAAAATTCTCCTTGAAGGGCGAATCGTAGCTCTTAAAGAGTCTCTGATAAAGCTGGACGATAGCGAATGAGCCTCTGGAGGTCACCCCTAAGATGCTCTATATAGGTTCTAAATTATTGTTATTGAAAGTTAAAAAATCCTATACTTTCTTGAAACACTTGTATCTTCTCTCAAGAAGAAGATATTGACGTGAATCAAGAACCGTTGTATGAATAAGGGACTAAAGAGGATCACACTTCAATTCAAAACATGATGAAGCAGAAGGTTGAAGAATGGTTCTGAATTATTGTTAATAAAAATTTTAAAAATCCATACTCTCTTGAAACCATTGAATCTTCCCTTAAAAAGTGGTTATCGATGTGAAACAAAAACCATCATGTAGAGAAGAGATCATTCTTCAATCTAAAACATAATGAAGCTAAGTTAAACCACTCACCTTTCCCACAGGACGTCAAGTTAAGGGTGAAAAAGTAACTTTCGTTTTTTCCTGTATAATGATCGCGTCATCAGATTTTCTTAGGAACTAATATTCAGGCTAACATTTGGAAACATGAATGATTTGGTGGGAATTTCACCAAAATCGGACCAGAATTGAAAAAGTTACAGAGCAAACAATTTGGCTAAAATGTTTGGTGGCCGGTTTTTCTCCTTACTGAACAATGTTCCAAGGAATGTTGACAGAAAATTCTGGGAAGAAAGGCGTTAAGCGATTTTGACACACCTGTCAGCTTCCCGCTCTCATCTGTCACAATACAACTTATGAGTCTATTTCTATTGCAAGAATGACCAAAAGTATTTCACTTTTTTTTCTGTGATGAAATTTCACTTCAAACTGAATGGACAATTTTGACCAAAAGTACTTCACATTACTACCTTGTGATTCAATTTCAAACTGAATTGTTGGTTCCTCCACCATTTTGATGAATTATTGATGATGAGTCTGTATCAAATAACTAATGGCAATGGCTATAATAATTGCATAAATGGCTTTGACATACAATAAAATGATGCTGCATAATAAATATAACAGTACAAATGGAATTAATTTATTTTATGAGGAAACTTCAATATTATTATTTCCACCCTGTCATCCTGACATTCCTGACTCACACCAAGTAGACAAACAAGATCTTTTTCTTAATGTTGACATATAATCTGACACTTCAAAGTGACGGGCGAAATCAATTCAAGTACCTACTAAGTTTTGTAGATGATCAGTAGAACTCATGTAGAAAAGAATATTGTAGGTAACTAATTAGAAAACGCATTTTGTGACGCATTTTCTAACTGGTTACCTAGGTAATTATCTATATTGCTGATACCTTGTTCAAAATTATAGAATATCCTCATCAAAAATTTATGTCATAATATGATATCTCAAGAATTCAAAATTCAATATTGGTGTATTTCAAAAATAGAAATGATCTCTTTGATTCCTTTCAATAATTATTCAAGATAGAAGAAGCATTTTGTACCTGTGTAAAATAAATTTCATAGAATTTTATCAGAAGCAGAAACTATGATTTTGTGGAATTATGTAATGTTAGAATGTTTGAATTACATTTAGGATGAGGGGTGAGTTCAATAAAATGAAAAATGATTTGTTGAAAATAGGGGTTCATTTAGCTGTGTAATAAATGTGATGAATAGAGTAAACAAAAACAGTAAGAACACATTACTTTCATTTATTACCATTGATAAATCTTCATTTTCCTTTTGGGCAAGTCCTAGTCTCTGTCTCAATGCAGATATGTCTCTCTGTTGGTCTTGCAACTGCACCAGAAAATCTGCTCTCTCATCACAAAGAATGCGTACCTGGGATTGCATAGATTTGTGTTTCCTTCTCAACTCCCTACTTGAATTTGTCAATTTTTCCACTTGTGTTTTCAGCTGAAAAAAAAAATTACCCATGACCAAAGGATGAGCTGAGTCCAGAAATACTCACATTATCCACATCAACATTTTTTTCTTGTAGCTGTTTATCTTTGAACCTGAGCTCATATCTCTGTTTCTCAACAGAATCTTTCAGTCTTTGCAAAATATCACTATCAGCTGTGGGAGCTGTGGGAGTAACATAATTTGGGCTTTGGTCTTTAGCCAGTTTCCTGTTGTCTTCTTGCAACTTGGCCACCAGAGTGACCAGTTCTTTAGTTTCTGATCGCCACTGCTCTTCAATAATCTCCAACTCCTGAAATGATGCACTTTGTATACATGCAGGAGCTACAAAAGTATATAAGCACTATTTCTTTATGACTGACAAAGTGTCAAATAGCCTAATTGTAGGATAACTAAGTGTCAACTAGTCTTAATCACAAATATCAAGTGTCAACTAGCCTAATTGATGAATAATTGAGTGTTAACTAGCTTAGTTGACAGATACTCAGTGTTATGTAGCCCAATTAACAGATAACTAAGTGTCAACTAGTCTTAATCACAAATACTAAGTGTCAACTAGCCTAATTGATGAATAATTAAGTGTTAACTAGCTTAATTGACAGATACTCAATGTTAACTAGCCCAACTAACAGATAACTAAGTGTCAACTAGCCCAACTAACAGATAACAAAGTGTCAACTAGCCTAACTGATGAATCAGTAAGTGTTAACTAGCTTAATTAACAGATACTCAGTGTTATGTAGCCCAATTAACAGATAACTAAGTGTCAACTAGCCTTAATCACAAATATTATGTGTCAACTAGCCTAATTGATGAGTAATTAGGTGTTAACTAGCTTAATTGACAGATACTCAGTGTTAACTAGCCCAATTAACAGATAACTAAGTATCAACTAGTCTTATTCACAAATACTAAGTGTCAAATAGCCTAATTGATGAATAATTAAGTGTTAACTAGCTTAATTAACATATACTCAGTGTTAACTAGCCCAATTAACAGATAACTAAGTGTCAACTAGTCTTAATCACAAATACTAAGTGTCAACTAGCCTAATTGATGAATAATTAAGTGTTAACTAGCTTAATTGACAGATACTCAGTGTTAACAAGCCCAATTAACAGATTACTAAGTGTCAACTAGCCTTAGTCACAAATACTAAGTGTTAACTAGCCCAATTGACCAATAGGTAAGTCTTAACTAGCTTAATTGACAGATACTCAGTGTTAACTAGCCCAATTAACAGATAAATAGGTGTCAACTAGTCTTAATCACAAATACTAAGTGTCAACTAGCCTAATTCATGAATAATTAAGTGATAACTAGCTTAATTGGCAGATACTCAGTGTTAACTAGCCCAATTAACAGATTACTAAGTGTCAACTAGCCTTAATCACAAATACTAAGTGTTAACCAGCCCAATTGACCAATAAGTAAGTCTTAACTAGCTTAATTGACAGATACTCAGTGTTAACTAGCCCAATTGACAGATAATTAAGTGACTAGTTAATACATATTAAGGTCTGTTCATAGAAATCATTTATATGTATTTGATATACATACAATTTTGACTCAACAACATGCACAAAAAATTGAATAATGAATGAGATTCTATGAACACATCTGAGTGAAAAGAAAGCTCTTACTCTTAAGATAAGTCAGAACTAAATTATATAAGTGTTTTCTATGAGCAGACCATTGGTATCTGTCAGTAGAACTAATTAATATTGACACTTAGTTATCTGGCAAGTTGAGACTTTGTTATATGTCAATTAGGCTAATTGACATTATCTATCTGTCATTTAGGATTTAGGCTAGTTGACTCCCAGTTATCTGTCAAATAGCCTAGTTGACTCTTAGTTATCTAGTTATCTAGCATGTAGGCTACTAGCAAGTAGGCTAGTTAACACTTAAGGGTCTATTCAAAGAATCCTATTTATATGTGATTTATATTCAATTTTAACCATTGAATCTTCATTTCATAAGGAATGGACTGAATTGAATATACATTAAATGATATTCTATGAATTGAGTGAATAGAAAGCATGAACTTAAGATAAGTTAAAATTAATTATAAGTTATTTCTATGGACAGACCATTATCTGACAATTAGGTAGTTGACACTTTAGTTATCTATGGATAGTTAACACTTAATATCTGTCAATTAGGCTAGTTGACACTCAAGGCTAGTTGATACATGTTGATACACTCAGTATCTGTCAATTATAAAAAGAAAATATCATAAGGCATTTCTGCGCTTTCCTAGCAAGCATACATGTCTCACCTTTTCAAACTTGTGTCTGTATTCGGCCTTCTCGAGCTTGTCGTTCTCCAGCTGTGAGATCTTGGCTTGCATCTCATGGAGCATGGTATTCTCCCGCTCGTTCCGCGTAGCCAGACTCTCCAGCAACTCCAGAGCGTTGATCACTTTGGGCATCAGAGCGGTCACCGCATCGGCCCCGTAGCGGTCGATTATCTTCTCGCATTCTTTGCCAATGTCCGAGGCTATGTCGTAGACGTCCACCACGGTGACATCGCCAGAGAGATCGCTGACGTCCTCCATCTTGGCGATGTTGGAATCGTAGGTGAGGCGCGGCATTAATTACGTCTCGGTTATTTGTTTAATCGAGTAATTAGGCGTGAAATTAACTCGGGCATCTTATTTATTGATCTAGAGAATGTCACTTTAAATAAATAAACGGACTTTGATTATGAAACGTCAGTGTCAAAATCAGATGTTTTTCGACAGTAGTGTTTTCCTCTTAACTTGACAGTTTCCACGAGGTGTACACTTAGTGTAAATATCCTTAGATCATCAATTCTTTTCCGAACGTGTACTCTGCTAGTAGGTCACTTTCAAGTTTCAAGATATATCAACAGAGTTAAATAGCCTTATCAAACTAATAACATCCAGTGACCCTAATATCATCTAACCTCACTCGACCTTGATGAACCTTCTTCCTGAAAATACAGTAAGTACTTTTTTCAGGGGGGAAGGAGAATAATAACAATAAATGAACCTTATTCTACCTGAAAATTATATTTTTCGGAAAATCACTTGAGAAAACAGAACTAATAACAATAGTTACTGCTGCTACTGTGCTAAGTGCTACTGTGGTGGGTAGTATGAAGAGAACACGCACTTGCCGCGCTGAATATATTTGTTACCTCCTGTCTCTAGGCGCTAGTTTTCGAACGAAGAAGCGATAACCAGCAACGCTGCACACCAGCACACCCCCCACCATTCTAAATTTTATGACAAGTCTACTTACTAGGTTATGTCCAGGATTCGATCATGGGCAAAAAATAAAATTTACATAATTCGTGTTGATTCAACACGTGCGAACTTACGGAACCTCGTTGCTTGTTTATTAGGGATATGGATATCCAAAATAATGAGTCAACTAAGTGGCAAAATAGAAGAATTGGTAGAGGAAAAAGAGAGGCCGGTTTGACTCACGAATGTGGCGTTTATGGGGCCATAGGAAACGTGAATTGGCCCTGCAATTCTGAAATTGCTCAATTCATATGCATCGGCCTTGAAGCTCTACAACATCGGTGAAGAACAACCATTCATTCATTGCTAATCATTGATCATTCATCAAAAAATATCTTGCAGTGGCCAAGAATCAACAGGAGTAGCAGTCAGTGAAGGCCATAATGATTTTCACGTGCACAAAGGCATGGGCCTGGTTAAACACGTGTTCAACACTGATAATATCGCCAAGTTGAAGGGCAACTTGGGAATAGGTCATACAAGGTACTCAACTAGCAGCAGATCAGAAGTGGTCAACTGTCAGCCTTTTGTGGTTCACTCCAGCCATGGGGCTCTAGCAGTAGCTCACAATGGTGAACTTGTTAATGCATCTGAATTGAGAAAACAGGTAGGGGTAGGCTCCAGATGTTGAGAGATTCACTGCAGTTAAACCCAGTAAAACATTTGTACAAATTGTACAGCTGATTTCAAGTTTCCAAGAAAGTTAAATACATTCTCAGGATTTGAAAGAAGTACAAAATAATTCCATAGAATAAAACAATCCATAAAAATCACAAAGAATCAGGAGAAATATCAAAGAATCACAAGAGACTTCAAGGAATTACAGAAAATTGCAAAGGATAACAAGGAAATCCAAGAAATTGCTATAACTTATTCCATAGAAATTTCAAGAAATTACTAAAAATTTCAAGGAACTATAAAGTCCAAATGATTACATGAAAATCCAAGAAATTGCAAATTCCATAGAAGTCACAAGAAATCAGAAGAAATGGCAAGAAATGAAAATTTTACTTGAAATTCCAAAGGATAACAAGAAAATTCAAGAAATTGCTATCCTTGACTTAGGAATTACAAGAAAATACCAAAAAATTTCAAAATTCCCAGAAAAATTTTAAAGAATTCAAACAACATGTGATTGATAGTAACCAGTATATTCAATTAATTTGGGTTGTTTGGTGTTTGAAGACCATTATTTAATAAAGAAATTTTAAATATGAAATTCATATGGAGTACCTATGGTTAATATTTCTAGGAGTTCCACAGATTCTCTAGAAATCTCAGACTACCTGGGAATTCCAAATGTTTTTTAGGGATTCCAAACAATTTCTAGCAGATCCAAAAAATTCTGAAAAATTCAGTTATTCCACAAAAGATTTTTTTGAAATTCAATGGAACTTCTAAAACCCTGGAATCACAATGAATTCTGAAGCATTCCAAATAAAAATATACAGAGTTCCAAAATATATTATGTTGAAGAATGACTAAAATTTCATAATATTTCAAAGAATCTCATCAGGAAATTTCATCTCCAGCTACATTTTCAAACATTCCTAGCAATCCCATAAAATTACATAAAAGATCTTGTTATTCCACAAAATCTTGTTCAAAACTCAAAAATTCTGTGGAATGCATATAATCAAACATTTGAGAAATTCTATGAAATTCCTAGATATTCTGTAGTTTCAAAGTATTATAAAGGAGTCAACAATATAACCAGAAACTCTTTGAAACTTTGTGAGTCCATTGAATTGCTAAATATTTTCCATCACAGGCATTCCATGATTCCATAATAAGATTCCTCTAAATTATTTGTAATTCCTAAGAAGTCTTTAGGACTCATTAGAGAGAATTACTAAAATCTCATGAATTGGAAAATTTCAAAGAATTTCTAGATATATCTTGGGTTGCTTTATAATTCTTTGAAATTCCCTAGAAACTCTTTGTAATTTTCAAGTCCATGGAAATTTCAGAAATTCTAACCGGTCCTAAAAATTTCGAAGAATTCCGAGAAGAATTCCTAGGACTTTCCACTAGGGTCCCTTGATGTAAATTGACTATTTGTCATCCTAATATTCCTAACAGGGTACGGCAGATCCTCGTCTCCTCTCACTCTAAAGTGTTTGTGAAACATTTATATAGTTCCATCTTTATTCATTTCTGGGGATAAACACTAGATTTCTGACATTTGTTGTTTTTTAGGTTATATTGAGGACATTGGCGTATCATAGGTAATATCCACATGTATATAATTTATCATTCAACTCTACATATTATATCCAAATGATGATGATAATTTTCGAGTTTTTGATTTTTCAACTCCAGCATAATCTTTGTGAAGCAGTGAGCAAATTTTTCTGAAAGTTTAATATGTTTTACCAAATGGGACTGTTCTTAGGCAATACCTATCAATAAATTAATTTGGATTTCATACTAAGCCTTATGGTTGAAAAATTGTATGTAGGTATTCAAACTAATGTGCTCATAATATGTCATGTGTGCTGTATATATTTATGTTGGGAATCATTTTTGCAGTTTTTCACAAACACTTAATGTTTCCTGAATGTAGGTATAATTTTTTAAATGGTAGGGCATATGCCTCTTCTTTTAATCCTCCGTTTAAATCATAACTGTTTCTACTTAAATGCATTCCAAAACTTTTGGAGAGGATAATTATAGGCACAATGAGAAAGTATATGTGATTTCTTATTAGTTTCACCTCCAATATTTTGCTGATGTATTACCCCATTCGGTCACTTCACTCTCCATGTTCTAAGTTCATTTGTATTTGATGGAAAGCTGACAAATTCAAATTTGCCATCCAACTGATTGATACAGCCTGACGCAGCACTTCTTACCATCTTTCCCAAACAGAATTGAATAATGTCGTATTGAGATCAAGTATGAAATTAAAATTTTGTAAGATCTCTTTTAACGCCTATGAATGTGACGTTACATCAATGTCATGTCAGGGACGCCAATACACGAAACCAAAGTCACTAGATGATTAAAAGAGAAAGGTGCTATGATCTGTCCTTACCCTGTTAGATGACAAATACGTCAGTTTGCAGGAACTTCAAGGAACATTATATTGGGGGAAATTTCAGGTACTGGACCGCGGCGTAGGCCTATCCACGCACTCAGACAGCGAGCTCATCACGCAGGCGCTGTGCCTGATTCCCCCCGACGGGGAAGTGAACGGACCGGACTGGCCCGCGCGCATCCGCCATCTGATGCAACTGGCCCCTCTGAGCTATTCGCTCTGTATAATGCTCAAGGATCGCATCTATGCCGTCAGGGATCCCTACGGGAACAGGCCCTTGTGTTTAGGGAAAATACTGCCGCTCGATCATGAAAGTAATTACAGCTTTTTACCTCAGACTGAATGAGATAGACACCGCGATTCTTTCATAATTCATAGAAAAGTATACGCCAACAATCCTTAAGTAATGCTGAACAAGGATTAACAAATCATATCGCGAATGGTGGGGATATCTATACTAATATTATAAAGAGGAAATATTTGATTGTTTGTTTGTTTGTATGTATTGTATAGGCTCCGAAACTACTGGATAGATTTGGCTGAAAACTGGTGGGGAGGTAGCTTAGAACCAGGAGAGGGTTATAGGATACTTTTTATTCCGGTACCATTAGGAAATTCAAGATGGCGGATCTAATATATCGGACGAGTTTTGTAATTACGGTCCGATTCTATTCAAAATTGGTATCTGGGGGTTTTCGGGGTCGGAGATTATGATTCTTTAGTCAGAATTTGAAAACTTGGGCAGAATTCGGAAATTCAAGATGGCAGAACCAATATGGCAGACGAGTTTTGTAATTATAATCCTATTCTTTAAAAAATTGGTACCTAGAGGTTTTCGTGATCGGGGATTATGATTCCTTCGTCAAAATTAAGAAATTCAAGATGGCGTATCGAAAATGGCGGATTTTGTAATTAGGATCCGATTTTATCAAAATTTGGTATCTGGTGGTTTTCGGAGTCGGAGATTATGATTCTTTCGTCAAAATTAGGATATTCAAGACGGCGGACCCAATATGGCGGACGAGTATTGTAATTATGATCCAACTCTCTTCAAAATTGGTATCTGGGTGTTTTCAGGGTCGGAGATTATGATTCTATTGTCAAAATTTGGAAAGGGCGGGATTTGGAAATTCAAGACGGTGAAATCAATAAACCGGACGCGTTTTGTAATTTTATATACCGATTCTATCCAGAATTTGTGAGTGGGTGTTTTCGGGATAAAAAATTATGATTCTTTCGTCAAAATTTTAGGGAATTTAAGATGGTAGATCCAATATTGCGGACGAGTTTAAGTTATTTTGCAACGTCTTAGTGAGGTTATTTGATATTTTCATTATTTTGAACATGCTTTCCATCAACAAATGCAAACCACCACCACTGGACCAAAATTCTATGAATCTGTGAAATATCAAGTTAGGATATTTGTAACTAACTTATATCAACAGATTTGACACTGCCTAACCATATTTACTCAGAAAATAGTCTGCTTTAGATTTATAATATTGACTGAGTTACTAAAAACTGATCACACACGGAAAACCATTAATAATAACAAAAACGACAATAGATACTTATGTAATGAGTTAGGAAATGCCTCATTTTGTGTAACGATGGGATTTTTTTTATGAAAAATGAGTTCTACCGATTATGTACAAAATTCAGTTGGCAAGTTGACTTCGCCGCCACTTTGAAGTATCCGTTCAACAATAATATGGTCAAAAATCAGCGACGAAATTAACAATTTCACTCGTTTAATATCTTCATTATGGAAAAATGGCTGATTCAAGTTCAGATTTTCCAATTGATATCGAGGAATCAGCACAAAATGTACTATTCTCTTCACCCATCCATATTTTTATTACGTAACTGGTGTTGAAATGAACATTACACGGTTGAGTGGAAGAAAGCACTTTCTCGTTCCTCTCAGGAACGTTTAAGAGCTAACTCTGCCTCTTGATAGATATTCCATGTAATCTTTCTGTTTATTATTTTTTCTTGCTATGTCCTGTTATTCGCTATCTATCAATAAAAGCGTTTATTATTATTATTATTATCTCACCACTTACGTAATATTTTACCTTACTCAACTGGTTACATTAAGTAAGACGTTTCAAAACTTCCATCAGTTTTGAAAAGTGCCAAATTACATGTCAAAATTAGAAAAATGACATTTCTCATTATGAAACTGTTCGTCTACTTACGAAACTTTGCGGTGCCGCCACGTTCATCTTTAAATAATTTATATTTTATACTTTATCATCTTCCTTGCAATAACTAATAAGTGTATGGTCATTAGTACAAAATTTCTGACTATTATGTTATGGGTGCATCATTATGTTTTGATGGTTATTTCATTTTTTGTCATGAGCTATTTATGCTGAGTTGAATAAGATATTTTATCAGAACAATTCTCTCGAATCATCGATTTGGCAGCGGTTCCACAGAGGTATTCGGAATGTGATTCCTTTTCGACAGAAGAAATAAGCAAAATAAGTCAAACAGAGCTGAACACCGAAAAAAAAAATTTTTGGAACATTATTTACCTTCTATTTACTTTACTGTATATTGCAATATTTCATGATTATTTGACTACCATGAAATTCAATTGCCTTATAAATTTTTCCTACTAATGGGAAACATTTTTGTTGCGGTTTCAGTAATAAACGGTTATGGAAACGATGAAGGCTTCGCTCCAGAAGGATGGGTCGTATCCTCAGAGTCTTGCGCCTTCCTATCAGTAAGAAAACCAACCCTCCCCATCAATTCCCATACCATTCACACCATAATTCGCAGGTCACCAGATATCTACGAGAAGTCTTACCAGGCGAAATAGTAGAAATGACCAGAACAGGTGTCAAAACGGTTGATATCGTCCCGCCACCTGTCGACAAATCCCTGGCTTTTTGCATATTTGAATACGTTTACTTCGCTAGGCCAAATAGTATGTTCGAGGGCCAAGAGGTTTATACGGTAAGGGTGCATTGTGGCATGCAGCTAGCGATGGAACACCCTGTAGAAGCCGATATGGTGGGCTCTGTGCCTGAATCTGGGAATGCGGCTGCCTTTGGGTACTCCAGACAGGTAAAGTTTGATTGTTCAATAGTGAATTTTTCTAATTGAAAACCTTTATGGCTTTTGAATGTGTGTTTTCGAAGGTGAATATTGTTTTACATAATGCAGAACTCATCAGAATAAACTATTTAAACGACCTCAACCCGCTATCATTGCACACTTGACATTGTTCAATGGCGTCTCAATGTCATAAACCCACAGGGATAGCTTCTAAACTATGCGCCGACACTTTCTCAAATGATAGACTAATAATTCATCTTTTTTATTTAGAAGCTATTATTTACTTTCATCTGTCTGGTGTCTGTATGTGATCAAATTTTGCAAGTTGAATATCTAGTCGTCCGATTAATTTGAAATTTGACAGATGTACATACATCATGGAATTTTTGATGAAAAAAAAAACAAAATAGCGGATCCAAAATGGCAGATGAGTTTCGTAATTATTATCCGATTCTATTCAAAATTTGTATCTGGGGGTTTTCGGGGTCGGAGAGTGTTATTCTTCTATCAAAATTGAAAAATTCAAGATGGCGCGCGCGGCTCCAATATGGAGGACAAGTTTTGTAATTATGATCCGACCACTATTCAAAATTCGTATCTGGGAGTTTTCGGGGTCGGAAATTATAAGTCTTCTGTCAAAATTGGAAAATTCAAGATGGCGGACAAGTTTTATAATTATGATCTGATTCTATTCAAACTTTGTATCTGGGGGTTTTCGGGGTCGAAGATTTTGATAATTCAATCAAAATTGAAAAATATGACGGCTTCAATATAGCGGACCAGTTTTATAATTATCTGATTCTATTCAGAATTTCTATCTGGAGGTTTTCGGGTCGGAGATTATTAGGATTCCATCGAAATTGAGAAATTGAAGATGGCTGCTTCAAAATGGCGGATGTTTTGTGATTATGGTCCGATTATTCGCGAGCTTCACGAAGTGGACGACATCTAGGTATAATAATACGAACTTCAAACTGGGGGAAAACAAACTGTTGTCTATGGATAAAGTGCATAGAGTACATTGCATTCAGCTTGCTGTAGCTGTAGTTAAATTTGTCAATGACATAAAGTGTTGGCACTGTTGGTAGTGATGATGGTTGAGTTGGTTAATTTTTTCACATTATTACATTTTTATTAGTATAGTGAACAGTGAACGGGTGAAAAATTGGAGATAGTTCAAACAATTCAAACTAATTATGACGAGCAAATCAATTGACATATAAAAGAACAGCTACAACATGTTTACAATACCCAGATTGTCCTGCTTTGCATGAACAAATACAAATCCATTGTTCTACAGGAGTTCATCTGGACCCCAACTTCAATTTTACTTGATGTGGGGAAGATCTCATCGCCGAAGTTTGTAGACAAAGTGCAAAAATGTGCCTTTTGTTGAAGTCTTCTGCCTCACACAAAATCACATGAATAGCACGGAGAACTGCTTCTCCTTCCACTGTCGGCTTTTTCCATCTAAATAGAGCAAAATATCTACCAAAAGAACATCTACAACAGGCATTATTAGCGTTTTCGATCGAATATTGACAACTAATGTCAAGAAATTTAAGAATTAACATGTGGGCGCTTTTGTTGTCGGATATTTTTACAATTACACGCAAAGACAAGCTTTTATACAAATACACTAAAAGGAATACAATAAATATAATAACATTTTAAGAGACAAGCATTTAATGAAATGCACTAAAAAGAAAAAAAAATAGTTTCTTTAATGTTTCATCTAGGTTTTTTCTGTAACAGATTCAAAAGCCTGCCGCGGATACAAAATACGAAATCTTACGTGGTAAGATTTTGAATCTGTTACTCACAGAATAACCTAGATCAAACATGAAAGAAATTGATTTTTCTTTTTTTAGTGCATTTCAATAAAAGCTTGTATTTGAAAATCTAACATGATCAATTCAATGGACTTGTGTTTCAGATTGGTACCTATGGGTCCTTTATTATTTACATCGTTTTTTGTTTTGTACAAAATTTTGTTTTATTTTTAGTCGAATATCCCACTTGGAGAACTCCTGACAAAAAATTCATATGTTGGAAGGACATTCATTCAACCAAATAATAGGTTGAGACAGCTCAATGTTGCTTTGAAATTTTGTAAGATATTCATATTCCTTTTCTCTTTTTCTAACCTCATTTTCTTTCAATTACCAATTGGCAATTTCAACATTATTGTAAATCACGGCTCTGGGACGATGGTCAAGAAAGCGACAAGACAAAATAGCGTCAGACAAAACAGCGACAGACAATCCAGTACTCAGAAGGTCTGATACAATAATATTCATAATTATATTAACACATTTATTTGATCTAGATAGTTTATAAACTGAAATTGAGTATACTTTCTGAATATTCCTTAACATTATGTTCATTATAATTCTTATTCCTTAGGACGTATTTGGAACTATGACTCTTGAATTGCCTGAAGCCGCTTTTGTATACAAATATCTCGGAGCTATTCTGTTCTTTTTCGATGAATTCTATGAATTTGTGAATAGAGGGATGGTGGCAGTCGATAAATTTCTGGAATGCATTATGCCATGCTTCTAGGGAATAATTGGTTCACATTATTGAAAGTTGTAATTTCACCGAAGCCACTTTGCTGTCTCTTGATAATTTTCCTTGAAGCCTCATAACTAGATATTAATGTGGAAGTTTCGGTGGGTATCCCATCAGACATGGAAGCTTAAATTATATTTCTAGGCCTTTCGATGGTGTTACTCGCCAATTCACGCAGAGTTTGTCTTATTTTGTTCACCTTCACCTCAGCGGGGTCAGGAGCATGATTGTGAAGAGAGGTGGGTTTTGGATTGCCTTGCTGCACGCACAATTTCCCTTTGCATAATCATTTCACGCACCTCCATGATGCCTTCAAACTGTATTGAATCTATTTGTGATTTAATGATCTGCATTATCGTCCAAACCGTCCAAGTTTATTGATAGATGTCATGCAATGAATCAATCGTAATTATAGTGATACCGGAGTCAATGAAAAAGAAACCTATACAAATAGAAGGTTTAGTAGTATTGAATTGATATACTGGATGAATTTTCTATTCTGTCGTTGTTTCCCAAGTCGCTGATTTGTTTGGCCGCTGTTTTGTCTGTCGCTATTCCCAGAGCAATTTCCCTAATTGCTTTTTCTGTTGTCGCTATTTTGTCTATCGCTATTTTGTCCTGTCGCTCTTTTGTCTGTCGCTATTTTGTCTATCGCTATTTTGTCTTGTCGCTGTTTTGGCCTCGCTATTTTGTCCGTCGCTTTTTTGACCATCGCTATTTCGTCCCAGAGCCGTAAATCATTTCTCTTACAGTTTCTCCTGAACAAATTTGAAGTTATTACTATTTTAGGTGCTATTCAGACAAACGTCAGAGGCAAACGAGTCATTCTCATAGACGATTCCATAGTCAGAGGTAACACGGTAGGGCCTATAATCAAATTATTGCGAAAAGCTGGGGCCAAAGAGGTCCATATAAGGGTAGCTAGCCCCCCACTGAAATATCCCTGCTATATGGGGATCAACATCCCCACCAGAGATGAACTAATCATGAACAAACTTTCTAGTACTAAGGAGTTTGCCCAAAAAGTTGGTGAGTATCAGCTTTTCCACTGGGTTTGTGACTGAAAATTTCAGCAAAATCAACAATAAACTATGCAACACTAATTTCGTCGCACCCAAAAATTTTACCTCTGTTGAAATATGAATAACTTTTTTCTGCTTTGACCGATTTGAATTCGGATCACACTGTTCGCTAGCCCAGTTCTTCTTCTATAATCTCGTAATTCTTTGAAACATAAGGTTCTACACATGAAATCGCTACAGGGTGTTACTTGAAACTGTGCAATATTTCGGAAATTTCAAAAGTATCCCAAATGCAGAAAAACTTTTTTCTACTACTGCTATGAAAAGTAGCGCATTTCTCATAGCTTACTTAGTTTCAAAAACATGTATTGCTCATACTGTGAGAAATATTTTTTCTCACGGCATTTTGGGGATTTCAATAATTTTTTATAAAACGTAGGGAGCTCACAGCAAGAAACGGTTTGCGGTGGTGAGCTAGTTTGGATGAGTTCTATCGAATTATAAGATACATTTTTTTGTGATATAAGCCCATTTTGAAACATACAGGGGTGCTTCCATTAGAAGAGAGACACACTGTATAATGTTCATCTTGAGTCAATTCTGATTTTCATCTCTTCATTTGAAGTTTCAGCCTTTTTTGAGATCACTGTAAATACAAGTGATAAGAAGACAATTTGAAAAATTTCCCTTGGTAATGATATCATCTTCATGCCTCTGCTGTCGAACTTGAAAAAACAAGTTTTTTTTCATTTGGGATCCGTTTGAAAATTCCGAAATTTTTCAGTTTTAGGTTTTTATATAAAGAACCTCATGTTCATGTGATTCTACACTTGGCCAACAAAAGTTTACTCACGGAGCTATCTCAAAATCCAATAAATTACTTGATTATATCAAAAGTTGCACAAATATCACCCAATTCAAAATTAAAGTCAAGAAACATATCCTCTTGCAAAGAGAAAATCAAACCTGAGTGAATGATTTCTCATTCACTAATTTATTTCATGTCATAATGTACTATTATTATTGATTTAATTTCAGATGCTGACAGTATTGAATACCTCAGCGTAGGAGGTTTAGTAAAAGCTGTACGAAAGGAGATTAAGCCTCCAACGAAGACAGTGGGGCATTGTACAGCTTGTCTGACTGGAGAATATCCAGGAGGTCTTCCTGAAGAGTTGAGTTGGTAAAAAAATGGGATAGTTTCGCGTTATATCTTCTAGTAAAACAATAAGAATCTCAAAACATGATTGTTTGCAGGGTAGAATCAGTATTTTTTTTATAGATTTTAAGTGAAAGCAATAATTTTGCAGGGAAAAATTATGGATTTCAACTTGAATATTTGTTAATATGTTGTTTTTAGATATTTTCATGGAAATATTTGTTTTCCAAGTATTAACCGAAGAAACTTCTAAACAAATTCGAAATTGTTTTGTTAGAATAATTTACATTTATATGTATTATCTTGAAGATGTAAAACAAAATAAAATGAACCTAGTTCAAATAAAATCATTGGTTTCAGTGTAATTTCATACCTTATTATGTTACCCCTTCCAGACTGGTTTTCTTGGTTTTCCTTCAAAATGATGTACTTCTTGTGAAAATCCTAGGAAACATTTCAATTCCTAATATGAAAGTGAAAAATAAACCCGTCGTTTTTTTGTAATTAGTTTATTGACATCACAGATTCCAATTGACAGAAAATATTAATCTTTACAACCTTTATTATGCAAGTGCCGAATATACATATCATTTGAAAGGAAACTACATGATATAATCGTTACATTTTTTTATCGATAGTGAAGAAAAACTCGATGAAATTTCAAAAGTGGTAGAAGATAAAACTTTGGTTGAGGGTCGTATCACAATATTTGAAGAAGCAGTTCTAACCCTTTCATCTTCTATTGAAACTCGGAAAGAGGCTATTGCATACACTGATAATCAATTGAAATTTTTTTTCAATTGTATAACAGTGTAGTAAAATAACCTGATTGAACGAAATGGCAAAGTAACGAAAAACTGTTGATAGTGAAGATATTCATTGATTATTTTCTGTCTACAAACACTTGTTCCTGTCTAAAGCTACTATCAATGAAATATTAGTACTGAGAATAATATTATTTTGGTAAAAATCTTACATCATTGAGTTGTGCAAAGTGATTTGGGAGATATGAAAATCCTCCCCATATAGGAATGTATCAAGTTTGAATATTTACAATATTTATAAAAATATACAATTTCCATAAGGTTTTGCGACGATCTAGACTTCTAGACAATCGCCAGAAGCTTATTATTATAATGTCTCTTCATTCTAATGAGAATTCCTTTTTTTTTCGAGTCCACCTTATATGATGCTCCAATTCAAGTCCCAAGACAATATACTTTTAATCCTAAGAACTAAAAGCGCTGCCTAGTTACGCTACTTTTGCTCACTGCCGGTGTCAAAATAAACTATAATGCCTTTTTTTATGCCTTGGCAGTGTTTTAAATTAGTTTTGGGCGATTCATTGCTCTCAATGAATTCCAAGTGCTTTGATTTTATAAGTCATTTTTTGGTAACAATTTTTGTGAGATTTGTGAAATGTCGGATCTGGTTAGTGAAATGTCATTTTTTTTTCAATTTTAACACAGGTTTTGATAGTGAATTGCCTTCGCTAGTGTTGAAAGTAAAAGATGTTCAAAAGCAATTTTCGAAAGTAAATTACTTTCAACACATCAAATTCTGAGGGTTTTGATTATTTCTGGAATGAAATGTCCTATGAAAGTAAAAAGACTTTGATCAGAATAGTATTTGAATGACTTTCAGCCAGTGTTCAAATTAGTAATGTACCTTTCGAGTTTTCTGGAGAAAAACTAGTTTCGACATAACGCCAGTTGAAGCTAAATTCTTCTAAACTTTAATGCTGGCGTTGAAATTAAATCATCATCACTAATATTGGAAATAAATGAACTTTCAACACTAAAACTGAATGTAAAGGACTTTCAACTTCAGAAATGAAAGTAAGGGACTTATAACTTCAGTTTTAAAAGTAAGGACCTTCTAACACTGGTGCCAGAAAAAAATACATTCCTGGCACTGACAGCAAGTATCAAAATCTCCCTTTAGTGTTTTTGTTCTGAACAAAAAAAAATGTTTCGACCATGTCTAGCTAAAATTCAATTCTTCCAGACTTGAATACTGGTGTTGATATCAAATCGTCAAACAGTGAAGGAACTTTCAACACTAAAACTGAATGTAAAGGACTTACAATATCAGTGTTGAGAGTGATGGACTTACAACAGCTAGTCAAAAATTTTTTTTTTCAGTTTCAACTCTGTTAAAAATGAATCGTCATCACTACTATCAACCTAAAGGGACTTTGAATACTAGAACATCAGTGTTCACAAAACCAATACTGAAATAAAAGAACTTTCAAAACTGATGACATAAAATGGCATTCCCCAATTTGACAGCTAGCGTTATTGAAGATGAAAAGTTGAAAGGCTGAAGTTGTCATTTTTTCATATCTTTTTTGAAGTTTGGAAAAAAGTTTAGATTTTCATTCGTAAAGAGGAAATATAGGAAGAAAAATATTGTCTCTTCCAAGTTGTTTATTTATATGAATGCAGATTTAGAATTGGAGACGAATAGCGAAGTGAGATTTAGAATTTTAGAAAATGATCGGACCTACATAGCGTATGCTCGTATATATCTATATTCAAACTCTTAATAGGAATATTGCACTAGAACTAAAACTACGTTAGCTAGGTGAAAACGACACAAAACTTTAAAATATATAACTACAATTTTCCGACTATTCACTAGGAGAACCATTCCGGTAGAGAATACTGTAGCTTCAAAGTTCAACTGGTCTTTTCTCACCCAGCTAAGAAAAATTGATCAATTATCTATATACAATAAAAATTGCACAGTATTTACACTATTGGACGCTCCAAATTTTATATACAAAACTCACGTCATTCTTGTTTTCATAAAATCATATGAATACATTTTCAAAAAGAAACGTTCTCTATGAATCGAATCTCAATACTTGGTAACTCAATGTAAAGTGTGCCTACATTTCGTACTTTTGCGAGATAACTTGGTTGTCTTTCGAGATAAGTTGCCATTTTAACTGAATTTTTGGAGCGCACGAAACAGAATTCCTATTATATTCAATCAGAATCATGCAGCAAACTTGTGACTCCATCTATTTCGTTCCATTTCAATCGATCAGATTCTTTGTTCTGATTAAGTATATTTAAATGGGCTGAAGTCTTTATCAGTTGATTCTTTTCCTTTCTTCATTCTCAAATAAATGTTAATTCGAACATCTATAATGTAGATAGAACTTTGTTCCAGAAGGAATTTTTATTGTACAGGGTACAGGGTTCTAACTGACAGATTTAATATACAATGAAATACATCTTTGTTTCATAACATAATACGAGAATATATAAGTATATGTGTATGGGTAGTAATAAAAGTAATGTGTTGAAAAAAATTGCGGCACGTAGATTTTTTCAAAAGTATGGAGAAGTACAAAATGACTGATTCAACTTAGATCTTTCAGGTATGCAGCGAAATAGTTTTTGTCAGTCTCGTTCATGCAGCATTCATTTTTTTGAATGCTCTCACCTTCTACCAATGCATCAACTTGGGAGAAAGCAATATTTTTGTATTGGAGTTTCTTGATACAAATTTGGAAATCTTTGAAATCGGTAACTTATTTCAGCTACTAAGATGAAGTATGACTTCTTTTATTCAATACTTTCATGTTCTTGATGAAAAATAAAGGTGGAAAAAAAAAAATCTGTTTCAATTCATGTACTTCTCACTATGACTGTGAATGTTTAATGTTGATGAACAGGGATAACAAGTTCTATCTGGGTGTAGATAGAACCATGATAAACCAAATTATGTAGTTAGGATGTTGTTACACCAAATTGAGAGAGAAATATTCTGTAGATAGAACTCTGCATTGTTACTAACTCATTCAAATTCCAACAGATTACGATAGTTGACCTCTCAGAATTCATCAGATAAAACCCAAATATACCAAAATCTTAATTTTGGAAAAAAAGGCAGATAGAACCTTATTCTAGGGCGACGAGGTAGGTATTGGGTTTTTTTCTCAACTTTCGGGGATTTATTAGTTCTTGGGAATAGTTCCTTTGGCAAAGGCCGTTTTCATCTTGCCGATTGAAGTTGAAATTCAACCAAGGTAGGTACAGTAGGTGCTCAAAACGTGAGAATTTTCACAATTTCGTCTCGTGAAACACAGAGGGCTGTGAAAGTTCCACCGAAAAAGTAGTGCCACAACTCTCCATCTCGAAAGACAACTGAGATATCTCGCAAGAGTATCGAATATTAGACACAATGTAGCGTCGACATTGAGTAATGAGTAATGGAATGTTTCAGCAAAAAATGGCGAACCGAAGACATCACAGAAACCAAAAAGGCCATTTGACTATACACGCTGCCGATCGAATTGAAAGAATCGTGCCAAATTTAGTAAAATACTCAACAACAAACATTTTTCTCACGGATGAAATAATTCAATATTCAAGTTATCAATCGGATTGAAATCAACTTACCTCTATACGAAAATGCCGTGAGAGGGCGATGAAGAGCAATTTTATTTCCAGGAGGTACTGCTCTGAAATTCGTAGGGTAATTTACTATAGTGAGTGTGCATGGAAAACATGTCGTACCAATTCAATCAATGGAAGAAAGCACTTCCTCGTTCCTTTCTTGTGGGAACGTTCAAGAGCTAACTGCCATTTGATAGATAAACTTATTTTTTCCTCTACTGTATTGTATTTTTTGTTCTTTCTGTCTATCAATAAAAGCGTTTATTATTATTATTAATATACAGGGAGTTAGGTAAACGGCACTGTCGATATTTTGATATTTTGATGGATGACAAAATCACTCAACTCACTTTTTTCTAACTCCATTGTTTTGATAATTTTTTTTTGGTTTATGTATGATTATGACGATTATCATGTTTTGCAAGTTTTTGCTTCATTTGGGCTGAGTTATTGACCACAATAATCAAGTTTATGAACTATTTTTCAACATATGATAATGTTGTTGGTCATCTTCTTTATTTATTTATTTTTTCTCGAATACCTTTTTTACTAGAAATCATGAACTGTAATTTGGAAATGACCAATCATATGATGAAGAGTTTGCGAATTGGTAAACATGATTATTGCGGTCAATAACTCAACACAAATGAGGTAGAAACGATCAAAAAATGATAATTCTAATATCATGAACGAGTCGTATGGAGAAGCACCAAAATGAATTTTGTTATTCATCTCGAAAACAGAGGAAAATATTGAAAAAACTGCAGTTAGGAGAAAGTGACATAATTGAAAAATGTGGTCGGTGCCGTACTCCAAAAAAGTTAGATAAATTTTTATGAGAGAATGCAAAATACATAACTCTCTGTATATTGATTGAAATGGTACAGGTTTTCCATGCACATTTATTATAGTAAATTGCCCTACAAATTTCAGAGCAGTACCTTTCAACGATTCCGAGATATTTAAAAAAATCTGGAAATTAAATTGTTCTTAATCGCCCTCTCACGGCTAACGGTGCAATTTCTTATGGAGGTAAGTTGATTTCAATCGGCCTATTTGACAACAATAACAGCGCCGAATACAGTCCACACCACACAAAATACTGACACACCGAGACCTGATCTGATTTTGTGGTTATGTATGTTTTTGTTTACCAGTTTTACTGGTGTCGATTTTTGATCTCCACTCTCCAGTTATTTGTTTGCCTAAGTGCACAGTTTATAGTTGTTTTGTTAGTTAGTTGATCATCGTTATTTTTCATGAATACGATATAAACATCAACAAAGGCGCCAAGTTGTCTTCTTCTTCCATTTTTATTATTTGTTTTTTATTCGTTAGCTATTCGCTAGCTATATTCTTCATCATCTGCTATATTTAGATCAGATTCCCCGAAAATCAGAAATTGATTTATTTTGAAAAAAATAACGACTGACTTTATCGATCGATCACCATTTTGTACAGCGTGGACATAAAACTGAGCAGTTCCGAACTCATTTTATGAAATTCATGTGAAAGAAACTTCCCCATTTTGGCTTATTTGTCAAATCCTCACATTCGATCGGCACTATCTCCTTTGCGACCTAGTCAAAATTATTAATCTCGTCGATTACACATCGCCAAAAGTCAACATGACTAGCATCGAAGACGACACGGAATAGGAAAAGAGACCGAAATGAAAAACCGAATTTTACTTTGAATGCTAGGAAACGGTCATGCAAGATATCAACTGTTGACAGAGCTGGTTATAAACTAGACAGTCACCTGATATCCGTCTCATTTTCAGTCCTTTCGAGTCCCTCGGCGTATCCACGATTTTCAGTTCGATCTGAATACCGCCTTCGTACTCCAAACTCAACCTGAAAATGATAAAAATGATACTTACTGGCTCACTTCTTATCATATATGATTAAAAATTCGATGTCGATCGGAAATTCGACCGCAGCGAGCGATATTGAACCTCAAACGGAAGGCACGATGCACACGGACGCTCAAACTGACAAGAAATACATGTTTTTGTACGGACCAGTTCAGAGCTACATTTCTCGTATCCTGAAATGCATTCACCCACGCGAGAATTCGATTTCAATCGATAATTCGGCCGCAGAGAGCAATATTGGAAACTCAAGCGGAAGGCACGCTGCACACGGACCATCCAGTGGCCGTTCGGCAAATAGCTCGGCGCACATAAAACACGTTGTTAAACTGACAACTTCATTATAGCGACTGAAATCGAGTAGAACATTCCATCCTCCTCTTTCGAACTTTCCGACTTTCAATATTCCAGGACCGTAAGGAACGTTGTGACGGTGTTGTGAAATAACATTAAACGAACTCGTGTGAATTCGTTTTCTATCGAGAATTTGGCCGTACAACGATATCGAACTCCATAATAGCGACTGGAACCGAGTGAAACATCAACTTTTCATTCATCTCTTCCGAATGGGGAAGACCACTGAGGGAAGAAATCCGTGCAAACCTCTTTCAATCGACGAATCATGATTAACGTTTGATCTACAATCAATATTATGAGTTGAAGTTGAAGGGAATCGAATCTATATCGTTTTGAAATCAGCATATTTCATTCGTTATTTCGAAAAGCCAAATATGATGGTGGAGCTGTGACGTATTAGTCCCGCACTGTAGCTATCTCTCTCTGATACCTCGTCATTCTGCAGTGTTGCAGTGTGATTGGTGAGTTTAAGGACAATAGGCGTGTTGGGACTAAGACGTCGCACCAGTCTCACCAATGAATTGACAAAAATTCAAATGGCGCAGGAATTGTGTGTTTAGAAATGGACATATTCTAATTTATTTTTTTCATCGTCTTTGCATGAATGAAAAAATTCAAAATTAATTCACTGGTAGTTTTTCAGTATTGAGTTCACGATAATGTCGTTTCAAAAAATCAGTGGTCTCCCCCATTGCCCGACTTTGCACATTCCAGGACCGTTATGGAGTCGGTTACCGTATTCTGAGCACCCTTCTTATCATGGTTATATTTCCCGTAACCTGAAATGCATCAACCCACGCGTGAATTCGAGTTCGATCGATAATTCGTCCGCAGAGAGCGATATTGAACCTCAAACGGAAGGCACGCTGCACACGGACCCCGACCCCTGAAAACAAATGAAACCCTCAATAGCTGACATACTCTGGCCCCATACAGGTCTTCGGAGGTATCTGGTCGTTGTTGGTCTTTTTGACCATGTCCAGGATGTCCTAACTTGGAGCAAACGTCGGACAACTTTAGCATATTTCCTGTACCCTGAAATGCAATAATCCACGCACGAATTCGTTATCGGTCACAGGGAGCGATATTGAACCTCAATAGGAAGGCAAGCTGCACACGAACGATCCAACATTCCCCACTTCCCACTTTCAACATTCCAGGACTGTAAGAAAGGTATTATTCTTATAGTGGACACATTTTTTGTATCCTAAAGACATCAACACTGACGCGTGAATTCGATTTAGATCGAGAAATCGGCCGTAAGGGCGACATTGAACCTCAAACGGAAGGCACGCTGCACACGGATGCTTCAACGTTTCCGACCCCTGAAACCGAATGAAATCCAAGAAAATCTCACCTGTCGCTGATTTCCTCCGGTCCCAGACAGGTCTTGGGCGGTATCTGGTCGTTGATGGTCTTTTTGACCATCTCCAGGATGTCGTTCGAGTGCAACTTGGAGCAGACGTCGGACAACTCGAACTCGTACGAGCCGGAGTTTTTATGCAAGTTGGTGGGAGGCACGCGGCAGTCCAGGTCGGTCTTCAGGCTCTGGAAGATCTGGAAGTTTTCGGCGCCAGAGGCGTTCGTCAACTCTCTGTCCAGCTGGAGTTTCTCGTAGCTGTCGATGGGCCTGGAAAAGTAGGGAATGCGTTTTTGAAGGTACAAGGTCAGAGAATCGAATAAAAATACGATTTTCGAAATTTCATGACAGCATCCGGGAAAATGTTAAAGCTTAGACTTCATGATTTTTTTTCCTAAAACGTACCCACAAATTTTTCTGAAGGGGTCATTGATAGAATATATGGAAATTTCCAAATTTCGGGAAATTCTAGTCGCTACAGGGTGAATCCAAAAAAATCAATGAACAACAAAAAAACTATTTCAAGTTATTTCAGCCAGCGCCCAACAATTGCGTATAGTTCGACGCGCCAAAGACCAGGACAAAAGTGAGGATAAAGACGTTGAGTAAGTAAGAAAATAAATGTCATTTTCAGGTTATTTGCCCACCTGTTGCGTATGTCGCTGTCAAATGCGTAACTAGATTGCGTGTTGGAACTGGAACTCGGGCTCTGATTGCCGATGCTCAAACTGTCATTGGACAGCGAATCGTCCGAATAGCATGAACTCTTGTCGGAATTCCTCCTCAAAAACAACTCTTCCATTTCCTGCGGTTTGGGCTCGCTTTCCTGACTGGTTTTCCTGCCGATGCCGCGCGTTATCGACGGGGAATTGTCCGAGGGTTCGGAGATGATGAAGGAGGGTATTTTGGCGAGTTTGTGGTTTTCCAGGCTGTCCATCGAGTCCTCCGAGGTGTCGGAGGCTGCTACCAAGGTGACTTCGCTACCTGTCGAACGACGGAAGGGATGCTTGAAGTTGAAAAAAATCTAGAGATTTTCCAAATATTTTCTAAAGAAAATGGAAATATCTCAAAGATTTTCGAAATATTCCCAAGAATCAATAAAAATTCCGAGGATCTCGAAATATCCCAAGAATTTTAAGGAATTACTTATTACCTCAAGAGTATTTGAAAATGTCAAGACAATTTCAAAAAATTCAAGAACCTGAAAGATTCCATATTTTAATTCAATTAATTTCGGTAAATATCAGAATTCGAAGTGATTATATTTAAATAAAATTCACAGAAAACAAGAATCTGAGTAATTTTTAACATCTACAACATTTTCAGGCAATTACAATGAACTCAATATTGAAATCCAAGAATGATCAGAACATTCACTAATTCCTATTCAGATTTTCGGAAAATGGGCTACTGGACTGATAGTGAATGATTGGCATTCAATTACTCCCCTGTGTAGTTAGGGACCTTACTTAACCTTTTGCAATAATTTAGTTGATAAACATACTATAACACTGCTCAAGTCCTTCTTCTTCTTCTTCTTCTTCTTCTTCCTTGTTTCTTTAACGTCGGCCTTGTTCTGCTACTGAGGCTTATCACCGACGCCGGTGAGCAGACTACTGCTCAAGAAGGAACATAACCTTATTTACCGTCAAAATACCAATTCGGAGTTTGAATAGTCAACTTTTCTACAGACCACGCACTGGCGAACCATAGTAGATTATTAATAAGTGTCTTTATTTAGTTTTGTAACAAGAAAACACTGAAAATCAATTGAAACACACATAAGGTCCTAAAATTGTAACAAACACAGCACAACAACACTGTAACGTCGGCTTTTGACATACGTGAGTGACTTGAAAAATATGCGTCACTCCTAGTAAACACGCTGATACAGCATTGCCACAGTTATTTTCATTATACATATAGTTTTATTTGATGATGAAACTAATGAAGTTTCAATAATTTCAATAGCAAAATTCACATAATTATTTCAGTCAAGGAACGAACATACAGAATAAATATACATGAACATGTATATATTATAAATGATTTATGCTTCCCTCATATTTTCCAATACAGGCGGTAGATCTAGGGCAATCCGCAGAAATGTAAATAATTTCGTCTCAATTCTTTCGAACCTCTAGGCATGTTAAGGTATTAGAATGCATATTATAAAACTTAGACAAGGAAAAAAAAGTAATAGGTATCTTTCTGGATCTCAGGAAAGCTTTTGACACTGTGGAACACCAAATTGTTAGTTATCTAAAAGTGTTATTCGTAATTTCCCGTGCATATTGACTTTCGTAAGCTCATCTCAATGGACCATTCAAGACCAAACTCACCCAACACATCCGTGACAGAAATTTGAGGCCGACCAGCCTGCTCCACCCGCTGCACGGCGATCTCCTCCTGGATCATATCCAGCCCCGGACTGCCCGGATTACTGATCGGCGAATTGGTGAGACTCCTGTGACCGCCCAACAGATGCAACAGGTTCGGCGCAGGCGCGTTGGGCAAGAAGGCGGTCGCCGCCGAGGGCAGGTACGGCTGGCCGGTGTCCATCATCTTCGAATCGTCGGCGGGCGGATGCTGGTTGCGCGCGTCGAGCTGCTGCAGGGTAGTAGAGGGGATGCCCTGGGTGATGGAGCCGGTGCTGGCCGTGTTCAGGCCGCTTATGCCTGCAGGGCAGAGGAAACAGTGATGGTAAAATAAATCATCATCATCTTTTTTATTCCCAAGAAACAATTGACGTATATGTTTATACCAAAGAAGGGAAGATTTGTATTTCGTGCAAGAAAATTTATTCAATATTCGTAGCAGAGCGTTTTCGACTGTCAAGTCATCATCAGTGCATACTCGTCAGGTTAACAGGGAAATTTGTCCATAAACAATATGGAAAATATAATATTAGATCATATCATAGATGTATTAAATCTACATTTGAATCCTGATTTGAATCTAAAATATATGTTATAGACAAATATTTATGTAATTGTGATGGTGTTCGTCATGGATTCATTGCATGAAATAGCAGCAAGCAGAATATTGCAACGCAGAAGCCTAGTACTCCAATATTAGGGGAATTTTTCGAATGATAGACCTAGAATTAGTCGACTTTGGGTTCATCCTATTAATAATGTTCATGCAATATCTCTGGATGAAGACCATCAAAATTTATTACAAGAGATGCGACTCACTGATGTAAATAAATACTTCAACCATTTAAGGATGACACCTGATTTATTCCATGTTTTGCTCAAATTAGATGGTCCTCTGTCGAAAATGTCGCAAATCGACCATTAACAGCAAATTGAACTTTTTCAGTTTATATAACTTTGACAGAAATTATTCCCTCAGATATTTTTTAAAACGTAGACCAACATTAAGCATTATGACCTTGAGAATGCGGCAGCTAAATTTGGAGAAACCTGATTGGTTCACCGCGAAAACCTACCAGCAAATAGCTGGGGTGAAAGGCCACCTTAATAAAAACTAACGCTACAATGCCCCACAGATGTTAGAAACAAAAAACTATAGCAATAATATAAATAGAAATCAAGCGTTCTGAGCTCCGAGAAAGTGCCGATTTAGTTTCAATCGATCTATTTTTCAAATATAGAATTCATCACTCTGGGCAATTCAGCCATTTAGTAATTCATTCATGAACGACAATTTGGAACTCCTAAACTGTCGATCATGACATCTAGTCATGTTTCTTGTTCAGACGCATATGTCAAAGTGAGTAAGATAAATGACAGGTCCTAAATGGGCATGATTCATGTTCTCCACTTCGATCTCGTGAGTGACATTGCTTCTTTCTCATGGCATTAGCGGTCTAGTTAGTAATTTATGTCGGTGACAACCATTAGAAATGGACAAACCTTTTGGATGTTTTATGTAACTTGGAAAGACAGATGACAGGTCACATGTGATAGTTTCTTTCATGATTCTCTGTTTAGCAAAATCTATAATTATTTGGAATGAGCAACATCGCCTTATGTTTTGTGAAATTCCGCAAGAGAGAAGACAGGACACGTGTGTTTGATAGTTTATTTTATTAAAGAATTTTGCAAGATCTATTGCCATGCAAAGTAGGAACAGCTGACAACTGACAGGTGACGTACGAGAGTTTGTACTGAGATTCTCTTGAGTAGAGAAGAAACTTGAGTAGAAAAGAAAGTGTTTTGAAATATCTATCACCACTTGACATGAGCAACACCGCTATATCATGTTTTGTGAAATTTCACACGAGAGATGACACGTCACTTGTGTTAGATAGTTCATTATATGATTTCCTCTAGTATTGAGAAGTTTAGTAACATCTATTACCATACCATGCATACATCCAACACAGGCCGAATTACCGGCCTGAGTAATACATCTGGTAAGGTAATTGCAGTCAGCTCTGGGGTAAGACCCAGGGCATGTATCCTAGCCAGAAGCAACATTAACTATTTTATTCTTTCAGATTTCTGCACCCAAGACATGGCAACTATCCATGTGAAGTTTCCAGAGAGAGGGAGTATGACGGAACTTATCGTCTGCTCAGCATACTTTCCTGGAGACGCAGGGGCAGAACAACCTCCTCCAGCGGCCGTGCGAGAACTAATTGCCTTCAGCCGGAGGAACAACACCCATCTGGTGATAGGATGTGACGCCAATGCACACCATATAGCGTGGGGCAGCACAAACATCAACACGAGGGGTGAGTCTCTTTTTAATTACTTGATGGGGGAGGAGCTCACAGTTAACAATGTGGGCTCTGAGCCAACCTTCATCAATAGTATTAGGAAAGAGGTACTAGATTTAACAATCAGCTCAGAATTTCTAAGCAATAAGATATCCAATTGGAGGGTATCCTCTGAACCATCATGCTCAGATCATAGACACATTCAATTCAACATTGAAATAGGCCCCAGGCCAGTGGTACAATACCGAGACATACGGAGCTTGGACAGGGAAGGATACAAAACCTCCCTGAAGAACCATCTCCAAAACGGACTGACCACAACACATAGTCGTGAACAAATAGATATTGCTGCGGAACATCTGCAAACCGCACTTATCTCAGCATATCACGAAAACTGTCCACTAAGGGAGAAAAAGGATAACCGAAATGCTTCTTGGTGGAACAAAAATCTGGATAAATCACGAAAAGAAGTTCGAAGACTATTCAACCGAGCTAAAGAATCAGGTGAATGGGAAAACTACAGGGTTGCTCTAACCACATATAACAAAAATATCCGGAAAGCAAAAAGAGAATCATGGGAACGATTCTGTGAAAATGTGTCCAGCACATCAAGCGGAGCTCGTATCCACAAGATTCTATCCAGAGAGCCGACACAGGAGCTGGGATCGCTTAAACGTCCAGACGGCTCCTTTACGGCCTCCAGGAAAGAAACACTAGAGCTATTAGCTAATAACCACTTCCCAGGTAGCCTGATTCTGGACAAACGACCCCCAGTCACAAACGCAGGCCGAACAAAACGACCGGGCAGAGGTGACTGGATGGCTGCCAACAAAATAATCACACCACAAGCGATAAGATGGGCGGTTAACTCGTTCCACCCATACAAATCGCCAGGAGAGGATGGCATAGCTCCAGTTCTGTTACAAATCGGACTGGAACTTATTGTACCTATACTCACAAGACTCTTTAGAGCCAGTTTAGTCTGGAACTACATTCCACCCAACTGGACTGCGACTAGGGTGATCTACATTCCGAAGATAGGTCGGACTGACCCACACCCTAAATCGCTCAGACCCATTAGTCTGACATCCTTTCTGTTGAAAAGCATGGAGAAAATACTGGATGGACACATGAGGTGCGGTGTACTAACAAAACACCCCCTTAATGTTCACCAGTATGCCTACCAAGCTGGCAAATCAACAGAACTTGCCCTCAATAACCTGGTCTCAGGAATAAACGACGCCCTGGAACAACAGGAGATAGCAGTCGCAGCATTCCTGGACATAGAAGGAGCATTCAACAATGCACTACCTCATTCCCTCTATGAGGCTACTGCCTCCAGGGGAATTGAACCAATACTATGTGACTGGATAAGAACTATGCTTCATAGCAGAACCATAACGACCTCCCTACAGGGGGAAAGTGTCGGCTTCAAGCCAGCCAGGGGCTGCCCGCAGGGGGGAGTCCTCTCCCCTCTGCTGTGGTCACTGCTGGTGGATGATTTGCTGGCCATTCTCTCGATATGGGAGGTCGATCTGCAAGCATATGCTGACGATCTGGTCCTAGTAATACGAGGCAAATCCGAAGAGACGATCTCCTACGTCCTTCAGGATATACTAGATACCATATATAAATGGTGTGAGAGGGAGGAAATGTCCATTAACCCCCACAAAATGGTCATAGTACCGTTCACCAGAAAAAGGAAGCTGGAACATCTAAGACCTCCTTCCATCAATGGTGTAACAATTCCTTTCGCGAGTGAAGCAAAATATCTTGGACTAACCCTTGATAAAAAGCTAAATTGGAACTCGCACCTGGAAAAGACTATCCGAAAGGCTAGCCTATCACTATGGACATGCCGCAGAATATGTGGCAAAACATGGGGCATGTCACCAAAACAAGTATACTGGCTGTACGTGACCGTCATACGACCTATGATCACGTACGGCTCTGTAGTCTGGTGGGGCAAAGGCCAACAGAAAATGGCCCAGGCCAAACTCAATGGACTACAGAGACAAGCGTGCCTGGCGATTACGGGGGCCATTTGCTCCACGCCAACAGCAGCAATGGAAGCCCTTCTTGGACTACTTCCTCTTCACATAGTTCTGGAGAGAGAAGCAAGATGGGCAACATACAGACTCCACCAAGCGGCCACTAGTCAACCGCAGGCAATAGTCATGAGAGGCAGCAGCATGCTGGAGGGCATAATAGCTCACAACATTCTGGGAATGCCCTCAGACATCATGCCTAAAACTATCAACCTTCACAAATCCTACACGGTGGTCTTCCCTGAAAGAGAAGACTGGGCTCGGAACGAAACTGACCTATATAGGGCTAATGAATGTTGGTTCACCGATGGTTCTAAAACTCTGGAAGGCGTCGGAGCCGGAATATACGGGATGAACCCAGTAGTGAAACGCTCATTCAGCATGGGCAAATTAGCTACGATATTCCAGGCAGAGGTACATGCCATTGAAATGTGTGCAAGGGAGTTGGAAAATCGACACCACACACGGAAAACAATAAAAATATTTTCAGATAGTCAAGCAGCACTGAAAGCGCTTGAATCCAACTGCTTTAAATCTAAAGCAGTATGGAACTGCAGAGAAACCTTGAACCAACTAGCAGAACGTAACAACGTGAACCTAGTTTGGATACCAGGTCACACGGGCCTAGTAGGAAACGAAATAGCGGACGCCCTAGCAAAAGGGGGGGCCGAAACACCGTTCACTGGGCCAGAACCGATCATCGGTATAGCATATAGCACTGCCAAGAATGCTATAACATCCTGGGCAGATAAGAAAAGACTCGAGTACTGGCGCAGTCTACCGGGCCTAGCCCATTCCAAAGCATTTATTGCTGGTACAAGGAACAAACAGGACACTGACAAACTACTAGAACTCAGCAGAGCAGATCTCAGAGTTATAGTAGGGTTGCTCACTGGCCACTGCAAACTCAAATACCACATGCACAAAATCGGACTTGCACAAGATGCAGAGTGCCGCCTATGTATGGAGGAGGATGAAACGGCGAAACACATCCTGTGTACATGCCCCGCAGCGGCCAGAACCAGATTTTCAATATTCGGCAATACAACAGTAAGGCCAGAAAACCTGGTAAATTGTTCTCCCAACGCAATCCTCAATTTCGTTAAGAAATTGGATATACAGGGAGAAATATAACCCTAGGGTGAGCCACAATAGGCCAATGGCCGCAGTGGAGGGCCTGACAATAGGCCCACTCACGTTCAACCTAACCTAACCTAACCATACCATGCGAAGTTGTCAACACTGAGAAACGTTGTGTCATTTTGAAGACAGCTGACAGGGTGACGTAAAATAGTTTGTTCTAAAATTGTGTGTTCTGTAAAATCATTTTAATAATCAATCCATAAATTCTAAATTACCTTGTGTTATGGAAGATATACTACTGCCAGGCGTAGTTTGTCCATAACCTCCAAATACTGGCGAGTTATTTGGACTGAGCAGCGGGTTCAAAATGGGCGAATTACTTCCTGAATACAATCCCAAGTTGGACACCTATAACAAATTATAGAACACACCATGGAAACTATTATCAAAATTTCAACATCAGTCCAGTAAGAATGTTGGAATTGCTTCGACACCACGAGAAGGAATATAAAGATTGAAGGGAAGGGTAAAAAAGAATAATGTCGTCATTCCGAAATTTCTATACTCCTTCAGTAAAAAAATGAAGATTGCGAGAGCAGGGGCACACCAGTTTGTTTTCTGAAGGGATCAAAAATGAAAATGTCGGAATCACGTGATTTCTCACAAACCATCGGATCTAAAAAATCGAAATTTCGACTTCTGGGGCGTACCTATTTTATTACGGGGTTATTATAAGAATAAACTTTGCCATTTTCCAATTTTTATGACACCATCCGAAAAATATATATAAAATTGCGATTTCAGAGGCGCACCAGATTTTTTTCTCAGGAAGTGGAAAATGAAAACTTCCCAATTTTGAAATGTTCACAAAATGAAAGAGCAAATTGTAGCTTCAGAGACGTATATTTTTTTCGAACTGAAAAATTTGCCGTTCCAACACTATAAAAAATTCAAATTGCCATTTCATGGACGTACCAAATTATTTTTCGAAGGGTCGAAAAAAAAATCAAAAATCTTTCGTATAGGCCGACGAATGCAAAGGATTGCGGTTGACGTTGTCGAAGCCGTAAACACTACCTATGTTCTTGTTGTCGACAAGCGTCTACAAACACCGAAGGCTCTCTGAATCCGATGATGTCCGATCACCTTCGGATCATTCGCAGCTGCCTTTCGCGCGCGTTTGATTTTCACCCAGCTACTTCTTATTATTTGTGGTTATTGTGTGTATGAATGGATTTTGGCATTGTATATTTTCGAATTGTTTGCTTCTTTACCAGAAATCCAGAATGACTTGGTGCCCTATTTGTAATCAATCGTTTTACAACGTCGTAGCTAGAACTATCATTATACAGGGTGTATCTTAAATGATGAGTTCAAATTCAGGTGGTAATTCCTTGTCATATTTCATGACAAAAAGTTCATATAAACGTGTGTCCTAATTTGCTCCGTTTCCGAGTAACGGGGTGTCCAAAGTTGAATTAAATATCGGTTTTTCATGAATTACTCAAAATACTGTTCGCCGATTTTGATTAAACTTCGTGTGTTTGTGATTTGTAATAGCTTCTTTTCATGGAAGTAGATTTTGAATTTTGTTTCCAGTGGTGTGTGATATTCACTGTAGTAACTATTGTACGCTGATGTTGTTGCTGAGTTTGATATTATTGGAAATTAATAGCAAAACGTTATCGTTATGCAATCAATGTCAGTGCTTCTCTGTTACTTTTTACTTTTTCATTAAACTTTGGACACCCCGTTACTCGGAAACGGAGCAAGTTAGGACACACGTTTATAGTAACTTTTTGTCATGAAATATGACAAGGAATCACCACCTGAAATTAAAGTCATCATTTAAGATACACCCTGTATTTTATCAATTACACCCTTATGTCAAGTTATTGATGGGTCACCTTGTATGCATTATTGTTAGCTCATTATATCTATTCTGAGTCGAAAAATATGTCAGAATATTGGGGCCCGTACAGGCCCAAGTATCCACAATTTGCAAGTTTTCAAAATGTGCGTAGCACATGAACATTACATCGAATTACTTGCAAGCCTAAAGAATGAATAGGTTTTTTTCAGGTATTTTGCTTGGTGGCTACATAGTGTGATCATTTTCGATATAAAAGACTATTGCCCTGATGCTCATGTAGGCGTTTTTAGATGTGCAGACATTTCAACATTAAGTATAGGTATAGGTATCTCTTAATCTCTTTATTCAACCTTTTCATTCTTTCCTATAGATGAGAGAAATTCAATAATCAACGAGAGCTTTGATTGTGATTTTCTGACCAGCAGAAGATTCTGGAAGCATTAAAAATTGGTAAAGAAAAAAGAGAAACCAATGAATAGAATTCCGAAAAAGAAAAATTCAAACTAGAGCTTATTAAACTCGTTGATAGTATAGTCACATTTATAGCGATGAGGAGGGAGAAAACCAGTATGGCATTTTCCGACAAGTTACCATCTGAAACGCATCAAAATAAAAAAATTACTCAACAGAGACGTTTATACCGAACAATCAAAAAAGCTGTTCCTATAATAAACGACTTATTTAGTAATAAATTAATCCATCCAGATGATATGGACGCCGATAATATCGCAATAAATCTGATGTATCCACCAAAAAAAAATTAATAAGTAAATAAGTTGTGTTTATTGTGTCAATTTTGTCCTGATATAAAAAAAAACATGTGAGGCCTTTGCAATGTTTAGCTCTCGCAATATAAGCATCTCATTCGGAAAGAAAAAAATACTTTGCATAATTTTTCCAAAACATTACACTCGATCACTTGATACTCATGGATTATTATTATGTTTTTAAATTTGGCGCGTGCTCTGCATCAGCGGCGACGTCCGACCATGATCGGACATCATCGGATGCAGAGAGCCTCCGGTGTTTATAGACGCTTGTGAATTGTCGTAAGGGCCGTAACGAATTTTTTCAAGGGTGAAAATAAAAGTCACAATTTCGGAATGTCGTCTACACATTCCAGAAGAAAACATTTTTTACGGGGTTAATAATAATAATAAACTGCCATTTCCGATTTTTATGCATCCGAAAAAAAAACAAAATAAGAAATGCGATATCAGAGGCGTACCAGAATTTTTTTCGGAAAGTGGAAAATAAAAATGTCCCAATTTTGAAATGTTGTTCACTCAATGAGAAAGCAAATTTTAGCCTCAGGGGCGTACCATATTTTTTAGCAAGGGGGTCAAAAATAAAAAATCGCCCTTTAGACACTATAAAAAAATTCAAATTGCAACTTCAAGGGCGTACCAAATTATTTTTGTACCAAATTATTTTTGAAGGGGTCAAAAATTCAAAAAAATAGAAAACAAAAACCTCTTACCTGACTGAACACCCCCTGACCGATCGGCGAACTCCCACAATTGTGCACCGTCGTATAGGGCGACGAATGCAAAGGACTGCGGTTGACGTTGTCGTAGCCGTAGACGCCACCCCTATTCGAATTGTCGTAAGGGCCGTACGTGAGTTGCTGGTAGTGCTCGGGCGGCAGACCTAGGGTGGGATCCCTGCACGCGCTGAAGGGTTGCAGATCCGGCAACATGGCAGGGTTGGTGGTGGTGGTGGTGGATTCGCATGGTACGGGGTGGTAGAACTGGTGGATGGGCGACGTGCGGTCCGACAGGAATTTTTGGTGGTGGATGGGCGAGCCTGTAGAGGGGGAATGAAAAAAAACATTTTTCCTAAACTTTCGGAATTTTCTCTACTGCACCAGTTTCGGTTGTTCATTAGAAAGCGTCAATTATATTTTGGAATAGTCACTTGTACTTCAAAGTAGTCAAAGTATTTCAGAATAGTAAATTGTAAAGCATCTATTGATTTTCAGCAAGTATCAACTGTTTTTCAGAATATTCAATTGTAATTCAGAAAAGTCAATTGAATTTCGGAATAGTGAATTGAATTTTAGAAAGGGTCAATAGTATTTCAGAATATACTCACTTGTATCTCAGAAAGCGTCAATTGTATTTCATAATTTATCATTTGGATTTCAGAAAACGTCATTTATATTTAGAAATTATCAAGATTGATTTGTGAGTAGATAGTACACTTTCTGAAATATGTGACCGTTTTAAAACTGAATTACTTTCTGAAATACAAGTAGAAAAGGTGGTTTCTGTAAATAAAAATATTAGTATAATGAAATAAACTGAGGAAAATTTACACAAAGTTTGACATCAATTTTTTGTTCGAATTCTACAGGGTGATTCATTAAGAATGGGAAATCTCTGAACTACAGATAGTAAACACAAAAATAATGAGATTTAGCCCAATATGCCTAATGAGAATGTTGCTGGTTTAGGAGACACGGGGGGATCTAGGGGGAGATTTTATTTCAAAATTTCACAATAACTTAGTTAGTTTCACCAGCGTGAACATGAAATCTTGTATTTCTAGGTTTTCTGACATGAGGAATATGAATCTGCAACTTATTTCATATCAATTGATGATCAAAATAAGTGGAATATCTGCAAGCTCGTTCAATTGCACATGAAAAAATGGATTCTTTATCAAACTCAGAAATATTTTTTCGAACGAGATCCCCAGACGTTTATTTTATTTCTGACATAAATATCTACCTGGTATCGATCTGGGCGGGCTGTTCCTCGACGACAGCGCCCTCTGCATCCGTTGTGCCTCTTGCGGCATCGAAGGGCTCAAAGTGCGGCTAGCCGACCCTTCGCTGCCTCTGCGAACCGGCGAGAATCGTTCGCTCGATTTTTGTTCTCTGGCTGATAGAATTTGAAACAAATTAGGTATAGGTACAAGGTGTTTTTTGTCGATGATGTGAATACAGAGCGATTTTGGGATAAGTACAAAAGGTTATCCAAATCAGCAAACTTTGCTATTATTGAATAAACAAATTCCACATATTTTACGCCAGACCTCTTTGGCAAGCCGAATTCAAAATGCTTAACAAATAGTAAAATATTTCACAAGCTGAGCCAAAAAGAACAAAGAAAAAATAAGTCGCAGGATATTCCAGTTTTCCGACTTACCTTGCATTTCTCGAACAGTAGGCAATGGCGGCTTAGAGTGCCTGGATTGTTTGCGAGTCGGCAAAATTGCAGGCATATAGTTGCGATTCATGCGTGCCTCTACCTCCATCACGACCTCTGGTGGTATTACTAACAAAACAGGCATGCAAATTATGTAAAAAAAATAACAAAAAGAAAAAAAAAACAATCACACGACACAACTGGCTATTTACAAAATGAAGAATGCACACAAACATAAATATTTGTAAATGAACGATATCGAAAAGTCAAGCGCCCCCTAATAGCTAAACCGAGAAACGAAAGTGACACCGAATCTTTTTTTTAATACCTTTTTTTTAATCTTTTGTTTAATACCTTGCAGCGCACGGAAGGAAATTCCAATGATGTTCGAAGAACATCGTTCATTGAGACGAGGGTAGGCATTGGCAAATAATTTTAAAGATTTGCCGTTATATAGACAAACGAGTTATGGTAAAGTGTTGTTCGACATATCTTAAGGTTGACAATGAAAGGATTTGCTGATTGGCCATGTCGAGTTCGCATGAGTAGTATTGCTAGTGATAGAATGATAGTAGAGATTTCGGACTTTTCTACGAGATATCCACATCATTCAATGTTCCGAATTCGAAAAAACTCTCCGCTATCTGTCAAGATAACACCTTCATTTTGGTTTTACGGCATAATTAGGCAGTTTTTCGACCCAGAAAAGCCATTGGTGCAGTCAGAAATGAGCTAACTCTACTCTGAAAAAAGTTTGGATTTTGTCACCGGACCTTATGCTCTGTATACCGAATTCGAAAAAACTCTCCGCTATCTGTCGAGATATCGACTCCATTTTGATTTCGCGACCTAATTAGGCAGTTTTTCGACCCAGAAGAGCCATTGGTGCAGTCAGAAATGAGCTAACTCTACTCTGAAAAAAGTTTGGATTTTGTCATCGGACCTTATGCTCTGTATACCGAATTCGAAAAAACTCTCCGCTATCTGTCGAGATATCGACTTCATTTTGATTTCGCGACCTAATTAGGCAGTTTTTCGACCCAGAAAAGCCATTGGTGCAGTCAGAAATGAGCTAACTCTACTCTGAAACAAGTTTGAATTTTGTCATCGGAACTTATGCTCTGTATACCGAATTCGAAAAAACTCTCCGCTATCTGTCGAGATATCGACTTCATTTTGATTTTGCGACCTAATTAGGCAGTTTTTCGACCCAGAAAAGCCATTGGTTCAGTCAGAAATGAGCTATCTCTGCTCTGAAAAAAGTTTGGATTTTGTCATCGGACCTTATGCTCTGTATACCGAATTCGAAAAAACTCTCCGCTATCAGTCGAGATATCGACTTTATTTTTATTTCGCGACCTGAATAGGCAGTTTTCAGACCCAGAAAAGCCATTGGTGCAGTCAGAAATGAGCTAACTCTGCTCTGAAAAAAGTTTGGATTTTGTCATCGGACCTTATGCTCTGTATACCGAATTCGAAAAAACTCTCCGCTATCTGTCGAGATATCGACTTCATTTTGATTTCGCGACCTGAATAGGCAATTTTTCGACCCAGGAAAGCCATTGGTGCAGTAAGAAATGAGTTATCTCTGCTCTGAAACAAGTTTGAATTTTGTCATCGGAACTTATGCTCTGTATACCGAATTCGAAAAAACTCTCCGCTATCTGTCGAGATATCGACTTCATTTTGATTTCGCGACCTATTTAGGCAGTTTTTCGACCCAGAAAAGCCATTGGTGCAGTCAGAAATGAGCTAATTCTACTCTGAGAAAAGTTTGGATTTTGTCATCGGACCTTATGCTCTGTATACCGAATTCGAAAAAACTCTCCGCTATCTGTCGAGATATCGACTTCATTTTGATTTCGCGACCTAATTAGGCAGTTTTTCGACCCAGAAAAGCCAATGGTGCAGTCAGAAATGAGCTAACTCTACTCTGAAAAAAGTTCGGATTTTGTCATCGGACCTCATGCTCTGTATACCGAATTCGAAAAAACTCTCCGCTATCTGTCGAGATATCGACTTCATTTCGATTTCGCGACCTGATTAGGCAGTTTTTTGACTCAGAAAAGCCATTGGTGCAGTCAGAAATGAGCTAACTCTACTCTGAAAAAAGTTTGGATTTTGTCATCGGACGTTATGCTCTGTATACCGAATTCGAAAAATCTCTCCGCTATCTGTCGAGATATCGACTTCATTTTGATTTCGCGACCTTATTAGACATTTTTTCGACCCAGAAAAGCCATTGGTGTAGTCAGAAATGAGCTATCTCTGCTCTGAAAAAAGTTTGAATTTTGTCATCGGAACTTATGCTCTGTATACCGAATTCGAAAAACTCTCCGCTATCTGTCGAGATATTGACTTCATTTTGATTTCGCGTCCTAATTAGGCAAATTTTCGACCCAGAAAAGCCATTGGTGCAGTCAGAAATGAGCTAAGTCTACTCTGAAAAAAGTTTGGATTTTGTCATCGAACCTTATGCTCTGTATACCGAATTCGAAAAAACTCTTCGATATCTGTCGAGATATCGACTTCATTTTGATTTTGCGACCTAAATAGGCAGTTTTTCGACCCAGAAAAGCCATTGGTGCAGTCAGAAATGAGCTATCTCTGCTCTGAAAAGTTTGGATTTGGCCATCGGAACTTATGCTCTGTATACCGAATTCGAAAAAACTCTCCGCTATCTGTCGAGATATCGACTTCATTTTGATTTCGCGACCTAATTAGGCAGTTTTTCGACCCAGAAAAGTCATTGGTGCAGTCAGAAATGAGCTATCTCTGCTCTGAAACAAGTTTGAATTTTGTCATCGGACCTTATGCTCTGTATACCGAATTCGAAAAAACTCTTCGATATCTGTCGAGATATCGACTTCATTTTGATTTTGCGACCTAAATAGGCAGTTTTTCGACCCAGAAAAGCCATTGGTGCAGTCAGAAATGAGCTATCTCTGCTCTGAAAAAAGTTTGGATTTTGTCATCGTATGCTCTGTATACCGAATTCGAAAAAACTCTCCGCTATCTGTCGAGATATCGACTTCATTTTGATTTCGCGACCTAAATAGGCAGTTTTTCGACCCAGAAAAGCCATTGGTGCAGTCAGAAATGAGCTATCTCTGCTCTGAAAAAAGTTTGGATTTTGTCATCGGACCTTATGCTCTGTATACCGAATTCGAAAAAACTCTCCGCTATCTGTCGAGATATCGACTTCATTTTGGTTTTGCGACCTAAATAGGCAGTTTTTCGACCCAGAAAAGTCATTGGCGCAGTCAGAAATGAGCTATCTCTGCTCTGAAAAAAGTTTGGATTTTGTCATCGGACCTTATGCTCTGTATACCGAATTCGAAAAAACTCTCCGCTATCTGTCGAGATATCGACTTCATTTTGATTTTGCGACCCAAATAGGCAGTTTTTCGGTCCAGAAAAGCCATTGGTGCAGTCTGAAATGAGCTATCTCTGCTCTGAAGAAAGTTTGGATTTTGTCATCGGACCTTATGCTCTGTATACCGAATTCGAAAAAACTTCCCGCTATCTGTCGAGATATCGACTTCATTTTGGTTTTGCGACCTATGCAGTTTTTCGACCCAGAAAAGTTATTGGTGCAGTCAGAAATGAGCTATCTCTGCTCTGAAAAAAGTTTGGATTTTGTCATCGGACCTTATGCTCTGTATACCGAATTCGAAAAAAATCTCCGCTATCTAACGAAATATCGACTTCATTTTGATTTCGCCACCTAATTAATTAGGCAGTTTTGCTTCATTTTGATTTGGCGACCTAATTAGGCCGTTTTTCGATCCAGAAAAGTCATTGCCGCAGTCAGAAATGAGCTATCTCTCCACTGAAAAATTTTGGACTTTGACATCAGACCTACTCCTCAATTTGTCTCATTTTGCATGAAGATTCTACCAGTTTTATCCAATATGAAACATCATTGTATTATCTTCTGAACATTTCTTACTTCGTTTCAACATTAGCTATAGTAAATAGTACAATTTTTTCAATAGTTTAAAGCAACCTTGACCTTCTGATATCATCTATTGCAAGGTGAATATGAACAAAAATAAGCTTCAACAACATAAAAAGGCACAACTTTCATATCTTCTCGTTCTCGTTGAGAGGTTAGGTGTTCTGTTTGAGGTTAGACGACCTTGACCTTCCGATATCATCTATGGCAAGGTGAATATGAACAAAAATAAGCTTCAACAACATAAAAAGGCACAACTTTCATATCTTCTCGTTGAGAGGTTAGGTGTTCTGTTTGAGGTTAGACGACCTTGACCTCCCGATATTATTTATCGTATGGTGAATATGAACAATAATAAGCTTCAACAACATAAAAAGGCACAACTTTCGAATCTTTTCGTTGAGAGATTAGGTGTTATGTTTGAGGTTAGGTGATCTCTCTCTAGGCACTTACCCGGCCTTTCGGTGACTGTCAGAAGACCAGTACGTCTAACTCTCGTTCCACTAGATGTCGTCGATTGCATGGAATGGACGTCTTCAGTACTGGCCATCGTGTGGCGTTTGGTATTTCCTCTGCCCTGCATGTATCTTGGGAAAAAGGTATGAAAAATCATTATACAGGGTTGGGCATATGTGTGGAAACACGTTAGCAGATTTTTTTCTATCAAGACTTTTTTTCTGTTCACAATGGCCAATGTTGATTTTTGGTAGCTATCATATTTTTGTGATTATGGCGCAGTCAGCAGTTTTTTCAAATCGAGCACTGTATATTATTACAGTTTCCTGAAGAGCTGATCTCATAAATATATCACACTTGAGATCTAGCGAGAATGATAAGATATATGGTCTTCAATATCGACATTTTTCAACTTTAGGATTTTTTCTGTTTGGAAACTATTCATTATTGGTCAAAACGGCTTTCATGTCCCTATCTTTTCTTTTGATTTATTATCAACTGACATTTTATTAGAACGAATACAGGGTACCTGTATCTGTTCCAATTAAATGTGAGTAGATAGTATATCAGAAGTCGAGATAGAGAGATGTAAGCTGTTTCGACCAATAATGAATAGATTGGACACAAATAATCCAAAAATTGAAAAATCTCGATTTTGAACACCCTATCATTTCCGCTAGACACCAAGTGTGATGCATTATGAGATCAGCTCTTCAGGGAGAATCTATCATCTTTGAGTAACCATCATCAACTTCATTTTCTCAAATATCATAACACTTCATTCCTTATTATTTTTCCGACGCAAATTTATTCTTTCATTTCGTTCCGTTTTCTCGTTTGCTAATACCCATTTCATTCATTGCCCCAATTTCGGAAACGCCCTGTACATAAAATAAACCAACAGAATGAACATCTCGGGAACTTGGTAAAGATATGGCGATAATGGTATACTTTGCTCTTATCAACTCCCATTCAAGACACGGAATTTGTTTTTGGGGGTCTTGCAGTCAACTTTTTTGTAAAATTAATTTTAGAGATTCTTGTAAACCTCTGTTTATTGAAAATAAAATATTGACACTGCCATGTATCTTCATTTTGGAAACAGTGTGTCTTATTCACACTAAATACATGAAAGAAAATTCTAAAAAAAAACGAATCATTATAACACAACAAGACAGGCTATCGGTACCGATACCATCTACTACTCATATCAAAAACTCCTTCATTTATAATGGGAAAAAATATTCAATCATTTGCCACACGAGAATTTAGAAATTTAAAGGTTCTGTGAGGAATATTTTGCTGGAGAGAGCTTACTACTTGTTAGATGAATTTTATTTGAAAAAATTTCAACTTCTATATTTTATTATATACACTTTTTCCTCTCTCTCTTATATATCTTATATATTTTTATATTATTGTTATGTATTTCTTATGTTGTGAATATATCGAAATTGTTATTAGTATATTACACCTTAATGTTTTACAATTTTTATTTTTAAGTATGATGACTTTGTCGATGAGAATCTCATTTCTTCTGACAATAAAGTATATTTAATTTGATTTGATGCGAAATACCACACGATTCGTAATTACCTGGCCACTGCCAATTCGTCCAATACATGCTGGTTATGTTCCGAAGGCTGTGTACCGGTACCGCTGCTCAAACTCGGATTGCCGCTGGAACTCGAAGACATCATGGACAGCTGCTCGTGCGATCCGGGAGCGCCCCAAGCCATGTGCAGGTTCGCCCCGCCATCTTGAAAAACAAAATCGGTGAGCAAAGGCTTACGAACACACATCCAAAGTGTCCAGAAATAAAAAAAATATGGCTTAACCATCAGTTGTTCAGAGTTATTACGTAAAAAAAAACAAAGTTTCAGGAGACTATCCTAACCTCGAAATAAAACGGTCTTCTTCTGATTCAACATACAAAAATATGCATTGTTTTTCATTGAAACAATAGAGAAATTATATCAACACAAGCTTTTACCTCAAGTAAATATCCAATAGAACTGAATCAATGTGATTCAGTATCGGAAAATGACTACATACATTGAAATTTCAAGAACTGAAAACATGCTTTATTGAAATAATTTACTGCAAAACAGTTCAAATGTATTTCACTACTATTTCTTGTGCCCTGTCTCTGGATGGACCAATTCAGGTAGTATTGAATTCGTGGTCAAGTCACTGAATAGCAAAAAGTCTGAAGGGTATCTCTCATGCTGCAGTAATGAATTTGCGCCTTCGAAGTGCCCACCTGATGTTAGGTTAGATATTTGTCATTTTCATTTCATCATCTAAATAATTCGAATCCCAAAAGACGTATTGACGTACCTGAGGCTCTTCTGCCGAACCCACCAGCAGCACAAAGTACCACAGGGGGTTTCAGCAGATGGGGATCCTTGCCGCAATAATAGTGGGGGTTCTGCTGCGCCATGGTGGTGAGATTCAGGGGCAGGTTGGTGTGAGGGAGCATTTTCCCCCCCGAAGGATCGTGGTGAGGGTGTGGCAGATAGTGGCTTTCCAGAACCTCAAAAGAAAAAAGGCCTTGGTAACTTTTTTCAATCATTACATCAATGATGGATTTCTTATAGGCGCCAGAGATATAAGAGGATAAATCTGTATACTTGTATAGAATGTGAGTTCTCTTGATTCATTAAAAGTACTTTTACTACTAGAGTGGTCAATTGTGAAACTAAATGAAAGTACAAAATATGTATGATGTAAGAAGATTCAAAGTCAATCTTGAACAATACCTGGTCAGGACAATTTGATTGAAAAATATTTGACATGATTTGATTACTCAGAATTGAAATATTATAACTCTCATCTCAAGAAAAAGTATGAATCTGTTTCCACTAACTGTAATTCATTGGTTAATCTTTTAATATTATTATCATTCTTCATATGTGTTCATGTATCCCTCTCATAAACAAATATGTTTCTTGGGGTAATAAAAACAGTCAAATTATCACAATGACCACTAAACTTTCGATGAAATGCATGGAAACCGAATGTAAACAAACATTCAATGTACTTTCTATCAGTTACTTGAATATGCGAAAGAGGGCGTGTCGCTTATTACTGTGACTCTTGATTATTTACAATAACAAAATGATCCACCTCCATGTAAAATGTTGAAGCCAAATTTGGACGCCGCTAGCGAAAAGCAAAATATGGCCGAATTATCTTTACTCTCGGAATCTGCTCAAAGCAGGAAAACCACAAACTTTGATATCCTGACTACAATAATAAAAATATTTCAATTTTTCCTTGATCCGACATTCCTCTTCTTGCATAAAAAAAAAACTTCGAATATATTCTGTATTACCGATCTCTACCCTCCACTCCTAAAAAAAGTAGTTCACCTTGACCCTCATAAATACCACCACCTACTAAAGAGAATGCCTGATTGCTCTCATAAGGATGGTTCATCTTGTTAGTGTGTGAATAATCAAGACTTTGACATAATCCTATGAATGATTAACGTGACCTTCCCATGTTTCCAATACTCACCTGTTCGTGTGCTGAGTCTCCAGGACCGACTGTATGTCTTCTCGCAGTGAGATATTTATCTCCAGTCGAAGAGGTACAGCTGCTGTAGCCTGTGGTAGACGTAGACGGGACACTCATGGAGACTGTTTCTTCGTTGGTGTCCAATTCCATTTCTCCAAACTGAACAACGATAAGAATTAGGTCGATATTCGTTCAATGATTTCACTGTCATCGGTATTTCATTAATTAATTCTACACACAATGTGCTTGAAGGATTTTTTTCAAGATTTTTATAACGCCCTATCGGTTTCAGTTGCATCGAGAGCAAATTTTAACAAGGATCATACTGTAGACTCACGTTTCCTTATTTTATCCACCTTTTTATCCATTAAATTAGATAAACAAATAGGATACACGTTTTTATAGTTGATCACTGACCATAAATTTAGCCCAATTCGCGATAGAAAGTAATACGTCTGCCCATCTGACGGCAATAACTTGAACACTTCTGAGCTCCTGAGTGACCAACCAAATATAAACAGAGTAAACAGACTTGCTTCGAGATCAAAAATCCCGCCAGGTGACGTAAGATTATTTTCTATCGTTAATGGCAGGTAATTTGGATAGCTCGAATCAGATGACACTGGTGAGGTTAGAGTTCAAGTCAAATGTCAACCTTTGTTCACTCAGTAACGAACGATTATACTTTAACCAAGAACATACATATATATAGCGCCATTTGTTGAATGAAAAGTCGTTAGTCAATATCAATTATAGTTTATCTGAAGAAAGGAGGAACATTAATTCAACTTCTTTATTGATATCAAACCATTTTTCCGACACATTATCCATAGACATGATATCCGTGACATTAAAGCATTTAAATAAGTTTGTTAATAAAGTTTGTAACACATTAATCAATACAATTGCAAAACGAATACCATGATAATAAACCTAGAATCTCAAGACTAGGAAATTCTAGGGCAATTTGTGAATCGACTGTCAGCTGACAGCTTTCCAAGCCTCATCAGTTGCGCTAGGGCTGCTGATAATCAATTTACGAAGGTTACTTCTATATACATATATGCACCCAATCAAAGCTAAACACGGACACGAGGACGATATATAGCCCTCTGAAGAAACTATAACCTAACTAGGCCTAAATGAACCTTCTTTCTAGAAACTATATATTTATATATTTTTAGGAAAATTACTTGAGCGAACCAAAGAGACTGTTTTTATCAACAATCTAACCTGAATCGGCTTAAATGAACCTTCTTCATAGAAAATATATATTTCGGAAAAATACTTGAGCGAACAAAAGATACATTTTTTAAACAATCTAACCTAACTCGGTCTAAATTGACTTTCTTCCTAGAAAGTATATTTTTCGGAAGATTACTTGCGAACAAAAAAAAGTCGAACCGTTTGCTTAATTGAAAGAATATTTCTATGATGAACGAATTTACTCTCGCAGATATCGCGTACTGATAGATTACAAGTTCATCAGATGACGTAACGATGCCATTTAGCAATAGGGAAAATATGTCTGATATTCAATCTGAGCCAGGTGTTAGAAATGTTTGCCTCATTGCTAAACTTGAAATTCTACAATTGTCAATGGTGCAGCTAGACGCTTGTTTCGGGTGCTCCTTTTCTTTGGGTACTCTCGTTTCTGAAGACTGCAATGTCTACAAATAGGTAAGAACTGATAAAAAAACAGAATTATTCATAGCCATTGACATATTAGTATGCGGATATTGTCACAAACTGTAGGCGGGGGTTGCCTCAGTTGTGTTCTAGATCCATCAGAGAATGAACTTTGAAAGTGATAATAACAAAAAATACTCAAAAGGGTTTTCAAAGAACACATATACACACATTTATTCTTGGAAATGAATAACAATGAAATAAAACCTCAACTTACCCAATATGTACAAATTGACTGATATTTTCTGGGAGCCTGAGGAAGGGCATCTTCTGTTCTGCCCGAACTCCGAAGGTTCGGGCACAGTGACAACTTTTCAAACTTACAATTGATAGAACTTAAACTCCCCTGATTCGCACTCAAAAAAACAAGACTAGAACTCGAACTGTCAGTCGAACTTTCAGTCGAACTGGCAGTCCAACTCGCAGTCGAACTCTCGAACCCGCTTCCTTACGTCTTTTAAATAGTTGTCTATATTTTCGGAAACGTGACAGTAAGGAAATCAGGTCGATAGTCCAGGTTCGTTGAAGTCAATGTCACGCCTGTGTTTATGTTCACCTACTATGGAAAAAAGTTTGTTCACGATTCGAAAATTTTGGAATTAATAAACAAAGACGTGAACCGTTCAATGACTTCGAACCTTCTATGAATTTGAATGAAATTAAGGAAAATAACCTTCCTGACAATATAATAACGAGTAGTGTGGAGGTGAACAGTAAAAGACGGATGGATTCTTGTTAGAACGGTATCCCAAGGCGAACGAAGTAATGTGACAAGAATTATTCCTACCTTTTCCAGCGGCTGATTTTCCCCGTCTCCAGCCAGATAGACGGCCGGAATGGCGGGCATCGACACGAACGGAGAGCCGCCATCTTCGCCCGCCGCATGCGAGCCTCTTAACCGTTCGTTCGTCTCGTCTCTGACCGCTCGCAGGTAGTTCTCGTTGAAGCTCTCTCGCCGATAGTTGAGCGGTTCTTCCGTACGCCCGGAAACGTCGAGATTTTGCGCCAGATGCGGTATCAGACGGGTCTCGTTGAACGATTCGCTGCGCTCGTTTATTTTCGGGACCTTTCCGTACATCTGTTCCGCTGGAAATATAGTTTACGGTGGAGTTTTTAGTTGTGCACTGTCCTACCGACTGCGCCAATTTCTTTCAACACTTTTTATTAATCTCTTGGGGCTCACCAGAGGAAATTCCTATGATGAACAGAACCACGATTCTTTGGACTATGAGTAATGATCACGGTAGCGAAATATTGATCAATGTTTTGTAGAGAGATTTGAATGGAATGCCTTGGGAGCGTTAAATGACTTAATACCCAAGTTCTTGGAGGTAGAGTCTGCAAACATTTATAAAAAACAGTAAAGAAGATGTGGAAGACTTTGAATAGCGATTGATTATAATCGGGAGTTATTTTTTTTCCTGTAAGGTGCATTCTATAGACAGTGCATAAAAGTCAAGAGTATGTTAAAGTTCTGTTGAAACATTTGAACCACTTAGTGATTTTTCAAGTGGATCACTGCTTCTTGACTACTTGGTACATGTAAATTCCTTCCACTGGACAATGCGCATTCGACACCCTCAGTCAAGCTAGCGTTGTTCCGGATCTTTACAAAATCCTACCGACTGCGCCAACTGTTGACCTTTGGAAAACAAAACTCGAATTATAACTTCCATTACCTGCTTCATCTCTCTCCATCCTCTGATCATCCACTATCCCTGCAACTGGAAATCCATCGCCCTTTGATGCAACTTATCCAACAGCAAATTATAAATAGCGTAAATATGATCGAAAGAATTCCTTTTCAACGAGTGTACGATCATGTTCTGGTTGCCACATATCGGTTGTAGCGGTTAGTTTCACAGTCCTGCCAATTTTTTATATCACTTGAACCGGGCAGACCACGATTCATTTGACCATGAGTAATGGTCATGGTAGCAAAAAAGGAATCAATGTCTTGTCGAGAGCTTAGAAAGGACTGTCTTGAGAGCGTTAAATGGCTTTATACCCAAGTTCTTGGGGCTAGTGAGTCAGCAAACAATGAAAAAACAATACAGAAGATGTAGAAGTGTTTGAATAGCGATTGATTATCATCAGAAATTCAACTTTTTGTGTTAGGTGGATTCTATAAAAAGTGCATGAAAGTCAAGAGTATGTTAAAGTTCCGTTGAAACATTTGAACCACTTCATGGTTTTCCAAGTGGATCACTGCTTGTTGACTATTCAGTACGTTGTAGATTCCTTCCACTGAAGAGTGTGATCCAACACCCTCAGTCAAGCTAGCGTTCTAATGAAAATTTACAAAATCCTACCGACTGTGCCAACTGTTGACCTTTGGAAAAAAATTACCTGCTTCATCCCTCTCCATCCTCTGATCATCCACCCTTCTGGAAACCTGCGACTGGAAATCCATCGTCCTTTGATGCAACTTATCCAACAGCAAATTATAAATAGCGTAAATATGATCGAACGAGTTGGTTTTCAGCGAGTGCATTATCATGTTCTGGTTGAGGTTGGGCAGCTGCAGCATGTGGTCTATAACCGTGCGGTTGAGCTGCAGGTCCTTTTCTGGGCCGGCGTCAACAGGTGGGGCTTCGCTGAGCCAGCGGTGCCTGACGATTTGCGCGATGGTGAGACGTTTCTCAGGGTCCACCACCAGCATGTGTCTGATCAGGTGTTCGCATTCTGGAAAACCCGGTTAGATAGTGAGTGGTCAAAGTATACAATGGGTCCCAGCTGAAACTTGTCACCTCCTTTGAAAAATTAAAATTGCTAGATGTATTTGAGATTGAATTCTCTTAATAAAGAGTAAGTAGTTTGAGAAACTGAAGAAACATTCTTTCATAGGTAGCCAATGAAATAATGACAGTGTGTTGATAAATACAGAACATAGAAAATAGTAGCACTATTTATTTTTCATTTCTATGTTCGGTTAACTACGAAAACGTGTTTTTTTTCAATAGACGTCTTACTTCAGTCAATGAACGTTCAAAAAGGGGGATATGGAAGAGGAAATTTTTTTGAGACTAGGGATATGTTCGGAGTAAATATGGAGTGAGAATTCCAAAAGTCCCCGAACATACAAGAGAACCAAATGCAGGGGGCGACATAAAAGGTCCATTTCTTTAATTATCGTTCATATCTTGAAAACGGTACGTCACAGCAATAAAGTCAATCTATTCAAAATTGTAACTGATAAAATTATCTACAAAATAGTATCAGTAGGTTTCCGTATCTTTCATTGTTTTTGATAAATTCGCTAGCAAATCATGTAAATTCAATTTTTTAGAACTGAAAATTTATCAGGAAAAATATGAATAGTTAGTGAATTGGACGTCCTCATTTCGAACACGAAGTGATTTTCAACCTACCTTTCCTCCTAATATCATTTTACGGAGATGTGGGTTGTTTCATGGATGTTGTCGAGCAGATGTATATCACTGATGACCCCACTTGGTCATAGTGTCTATTTTCGGTATATTTCCCGCTTATACAAATTTCATAAACCTAACTCAACAATAGGCCAGTAGACTAATTATTTTTTGTTTCTGAACTAGAATCATCACTCAAATACCTTTCAATTTCATATTTTTTAAGAATTGTTTGGTCGATTTTTAGGTGCTAAACGGCCAGAACTCAACCGCCAGTAAAAACTCTGACGCCACGATCTCGTAAGTAATGACAGACCATAGCAGTTGCAATGTGTTGAAATACGAATGGGAATTTCAGAAATATTAGTTATTCGTTAGTTTATAAATTCTAAATTAAGTATTGGTAATACTCCTAATTAGCAATAAAAATTCAATTGTCTCAAAATGTTCCCTTATGATTTGTGGCTTATTGCTTATAATAATGTAAAAATAATTCTATTAATTCACACTAGAGGACAGTTGAATCGGTGAACGTGACAACGACAGCGCACAACTTGTGGGCGTGGTCTTGTCAGTTCTCAGCATGCAGCACAATGTTGCCAAGTCTCCAACATTCACATGATATGTTGTAATGAATAATAAGAAATATTTGGACATGCTGGTTGCTCAACAAAGTCAAGAACACAACAATATGGGTTCCTCCTATTATGTTTTATTCAACGACAGGACTCTAACATCTTTTTGCTAACTTGAATATAATTGGTGTGGCAAGTCACCTTGCTTCATGAGTGGAAATGGAAGATTATCTGACCAATAACAGAACAGCAGAACACATACCTTGTGACATGAAGTAGGGAATTCTGAATTTGCCTTCTATCACTACGTTCCGTAGGGCATTCAACGTGGGGCCATCGAATGGAAGAGACCCACAAACCAATACGTACAGCACTACTCCTATGCTCTGAAACACAATTCTAGTTAGGGTTAGTCTCGATTTTGAATGATTCACATGGGATTCCCCACAATGGAAAATGAAGGAATTTCAAGGAATTGCCATAATTTTCGCGTAATTTTCACTTATACCGGGTGTGCCATAAGTTATGGAATTTCGATATGACTCCAAATTTTAATGTAAGTGTTTTCAAGACTTCCATTGAGATTACTCAATAGCCCCAATTAGAATAATTTTGAAATTTTGGGGCATTCTCAGTCTCCATCCATACTGAATTTTGGCACCATGAAAGCTTATACAGGGGGATTATAAATAAAAACAATTATTATTTCCAACTTCAACATCCTGTATCTCAAAAACGGAGCAAGTTAGGGCACATGTTTATATGAACTTTATTTGCTAGAATGTCACAAGAAAACACCGCTAGGAGAAATGCGCTTTTTTTCATAGCAGTAGTAGAAAAATGAACATTTCCGTCGACCTCGTATTAACGACTAAGTTCAATGTATATGAAATCGTTCATTAATGACCTCTATTAATGAACGATTTGTCTATTAATGCACGATTGTTTTATAGGCAACCAAACATACACCGCGTGCATTCATTGTTTATGCTATAACTTACGGAATCTGCATTTAAATCGAAAATATGGATTTCATCGAAGATTTTCCGTTAACAGGTTCGCCTTTCCAAGTTTCTGACACGATTTTAATTCCTGTTTTCTAACACAAGGAATTTATTTTCTATGTTGATCATTTCGACAAATGTCAAATGTCACTAATGTCAGTAACAAGGCTACTGGGTGATTCTTAGCAGTTTCCGGATAAATGATGAATTCGCGAACCAAGTTTTCTTCATTGCAGGAGAAATGAGAAATATAGTCGACGGAAACATTTTGTAACCAACTTGTCCTCATTAATACACTAGTTGGTTAAATAATTATTTCATCACCAGCTATGTAATATCAATATTATGTAACCAGTTAGGTGAAGTAAGACGATTCAAAACTTCCGTCAGTTTTGAAGTGTCACATCACACGCCAAAATTAGAAAAAGGAATATTTAGTACCCATATATCGGCCTTAGGTCCATCGTATTTCAGTCCTTGGAACAGCTCCGGAGCTGCGTATGGCGGGGAACCACAGAAAGTAGATAGCAAACAACCTTCAGTGAATTGGTTGCTGAATCCGAAATCCGCTAGCTAGAAACAAGTTTCGAATTTATACTCGAAGTCGAGTGGCTAATTGAAAAGATAATTACCTTGATATTTAGGTTATGGTCTAATAGTAGATTTTCAGCCTTTAAATCTCTATGCACTACCCCCTGAGAGTGACAGTAGTTGACTGCCGATACAATTTGACTAAATATCCGTTTCGCTTCACCCTCTGACATCCGGCCTTGTGCAACTAAGTGATCTTGAAAAAAAAATTCAAAAAACTAATAAAGACCACCTACAAATACTTCATTCATTATTTCAAATATAAACATTAGAAATACGAATTGCCGATCAATACACAAAGAATTACATTTTTAATTAAAAAAAAGTAAAAGTTCTGAACAAAATCTCACTGCAAGTATACCTGGGTGTATACCGGGTGGACCCGAACCAATTTATCTACCTGTATCTTCGTTGCGATTTTGTATGGATGTTGCAGATTGATGGGTACATCAAATTGATTCCATGAGTGTATTATTTCGCTAGTATCATACCAAATATGACAATTCCGGTATGACCGGAAGTACATCATATTTTCAATTTACAATCTACTCATATAATTAAGGTTTTATAAAAAAATACTTTTTGTATTCCCCCCGTAACGTGTAGGAAAATCATCAAATTGAATATTTAGTGGCATTTTCAATGAAAATTCTAGACACATGAAGTAATTTAATAGAATAGTCAACTAATATGAATTTGAAAGGTTCGATACAAAAATGAAAGTAAGTATAGCATGAGGATTATCTTCATCAAAACTAAAAAGGAAACAGAAATTTTGAGTTTTTCCTGTTTTGTATTTCAATATGTATGGGAGTTTTTGACCAACTTAAATTATAGCATTTGAAAAAATGAATTTATTGTTGTAGAAAAATGAAGAATAACTAAAATTATTACAAAAATGGTAAGTTTGCATAAAAATTATTGTGTAAACATGTTGATATTGAAATATTGATACTCACGTGCTATTGTTTCATCATCCATAACACACTTTCATGAAAATATTCCGTTACGAGGGGGATACAAAAAATATTTTTTTATAAAATCGCAATTATACTAGTAGATTGTGGAATGGAAGATTGAAAGTATCCTGATATACAGTGTGTGCGATTTAAACCCGCAGCACCCTCCTAATTTGGAACCCGTCGACCGATTTTGAAAAACAAAATTTCATAATATAGTACTCAACGAGCTCTATTCGAAAATGTGGACGAAAATCTGAAATATTCAAAGTTTTAAAGCCTACTTTTGATTATTGAAAGGGTCAAAAACGACTATTATAGGCAATATTGTGTGGAATAGCTTAAATACCGCCATACGAAATTTGAACGCAAAATCTCATATAGGGTGTTAGTTATTCAATGGCAAATTTTGATATTTTTGATTTTTCGATTCACCCTGTATCAAAATCTGAGTAGTTGATATAACTGGTGAAGTAGTCATTCAATGGAGGAACACATCGATTACTTAGATACGAAGTTTCATCGTTCTATCTTCTACAGGAAGATCTCTCAAGGTCAACCAAAAATCAATAAAACTAAAATTGAGGTTCATTTTGAAAAATCAAGGAAACCGTTTTTCACACATTTCACCACACGGTAATTTTGAAAATCGTCTGGATTGATAAATAACTGACGAATATAATAAAAATAGAATGACAAACACTCTCCAAAGACTGCAAGGAGATTTACTGATACTTAATGTGATCATAATAATATACCGATATTGGCGAAATGGAAGTGAATTTGAGATGACAATGGATATTGTAGTGTATAGAGAAAATTCCCTCGAAGTCGTTACCATTATTTATATTTCCAGGAAAAAATGATATGAATCATAACACTTTTTTCACTTCAATTTCATTAATTTTTGGTTAACACAGAGAGATCTTCCTGTAGAAGATACAACGATGAAACTTCGTATTTAAGTCTTCGATGTGATCCTCCATTGAATGACTACTTCACCAGTTACATCAACTACTTAGATTTTGATACAGGGTGAACCGAAGAATCAAAAATATCAAAATTTGCCATTGAATAACTAACAGCCTATAAAAGATTTTGCGTTCAAATTTCATATGGAAGTATTTCAGCTATGCTTGAATCGAAAAGGCTAGTCACAGTTTCCAAAAAATTGCCTAATAGTCGTTTCTGAACACCCTTCAACAAAGAAAAGTAGGCTTTGAGTATCTGAATATTTAAAATTTCTTCACCATCTCGAATAGAGCTCTTTGAGTACTATGGAATTTTTGTTTTTAAAATCGTTCGACAGGTTCCAAATAAGAAGGGTGTTGCGGGTTGATATCGCACACACTGTATCTTTGGAAAGGTCATTCTTTACTGAATTGTCATTTTCAAAGAAGAAAGTATTCCTTGTATTTGAAATATAAAAAATGGATGCATTTCCAGTCAAACCAGAAGTGCATTTGGTCTGATACCAAGGAAAAGATGCACTGCAACTCAAATCGATGTACCGTATTTGAAAGCAACGATGATACAGGGGGTAGATTGCTTCCGGGTCACCTGGTATATACAGGGTGTGTTAGAGTTGTGGTGACAAAAGCCTAGGGTAGATTCCTATAAACAAAATAGGAGATATGGAATGTCCACGTTTGAAAACAAAATCAGTTTTTTATTGATATCTTGAAACAGATTGAGCCGATTTGAATGAAATGTTTGTGGTTCATTCACACAATCATCAGACATTCACTGGACCAATAAGATTTGATCCAAAATTTCCAGGGGCGTACCCATCGGGCAAGTGTCTTTTGTTTTTTGTTAAAAAAGTCACCCTGTATTTTTTTCGCGATCTTCTTAAATATTCAGATAAACCCAATGAAAATACAACATTTCTGCCTCATGCTATTTTTTCGTATCGTGCCTGGTTTTCGAGAAAAACGAACAATACCATATTCAAAAATGTATTGCACATTATCACGCTATAAATGAAAAACTCATTTTTTAAAACTAGGACACATATATCTCAGAAACAAAGGACTTTCGGACCATATTCATGTAAACTTCTTTCCATATTTTGTTGAGAGGAATATCCCCTAGGTTTTTGTCCCCACAACTCTGAAACACCCTGTATACTAACAAGTATAATATTTGTAATGCCTAGAAGAAGTTACATGTTTTCATGACAATTTTGATCACTCCAAAATTCGGATCATTTTCGGGTTCGTTACTTACCAAATATTTCACCTTTGCTAGCATACTCAGTAACCATATAAATAGTTTGATTTGTCTCCATGAGCTGATACAGTCTGGTAACGTGGGGATGTCTTAGTTTTTTCAGTATAGCAGTCTCTCTAAATATCTTTGTTAAATTTTCTTCGTCTAATACAGTCTTATCTATTATTTTGATGGCCACCTGTGTAGAATACCGAATATGAAATATAAAAGGTACAATAATCATTTTGATTCATCAAATAGGCAATATACCAATATTACCACATTCATATTTTATCCACTGGTCAATTCTACTGGGGTTGGTAACTTAGATGCCAAAATACGTCTTTCATGTACAGGGTGGCCAACTAAGACTCCAGAGTTCGATTTCTCTGTTGTCTTGAGAGATACAAAAAAAATTCATGAATCAAAATTGAAGTAAAAACCGAGCTTCACAGTTCAAAATTTCTTTGAAATACACAGGGTGTTCCGTAAGGTCACAGCACATCAAAGCTATGTTTCATTCTCCCTGAAGATCTGATTTCAACGACCCATCATACTTAGGGTCTAGCAGTGAGAGTTACTGACATATAGGGTGTGCAAAATCGAGATTTTCCAAGTTCAGGATTATTTTCTGTCGAAACTGTTCATTATTCGTCAAAACGGTTTACATGTCCCTATCTCAACTTTTCACTCACTATCAATTGGTGTTCAATTGAAATATACAAGGTGGTCAAAAAATCTAAAGGACCCCGCACAAAACCATGGGGAATTGGCCCACAGTGGGATTTGCCTGAAATTCACATATGTTATTGGTATGGAGTTTCTAATCAAATATTTTCATGTGACCAATCCTCTAAGACCAAGGATTCAGCTCTCAGGGTCGTATTTAGTATAGATGCCAAATAAACATTGACACTTTTTTTTTCAAGCCCACGAATTTTGTATCTTCTATTATGCCTTGTCCTGCAGGGCCGTATTCAGTAAAACTGTATTTGCCAAAGTGCCGAATCGAATTGATTTTGTTATTACTTTGTTATTTCTTGTCCTATTTCAGTGGTCGTTTGATAGATGAATGTAGATTTCTTTGTGTACATAACAAAAGTGGTCACCATCTTAATATTCAAGATGGTCGGCCTAACATTCAATCTTTATAAAGGACATATCTCGTAGCTTTTTAGGAATGATAGTAACAGGAAAAGATAAGAACACGTTTCGATTGTTGAAATAGGTCATTTACTTTTTCAATTACCTAACTCTATAATATAAATATAACTCTACTATCTATTTGAAACTTCATCCAATTCATTACTTACAAAGTTGAAACTGATATTCACAGGGGTGGTGAACAAAAAAGTCAAGCACTCACTATCAACATAATTCCCGAACACTTACAGCTGCTGGAGTATTGCATCTTGCACTGGACGATTTGCGGCATCTTTAATATGCTGTATCACAGAAGTCGATGGGTAATTCAGATTTTGATTATGGCGGGCAAATCCTAAATACTACAATATGCTACAAATGAGAGCACATGTTCCTAGTGTCCTTGCCCTTGATTTGCAACTGCAGTAGTATCCTATTTTGACATCTTCTTCATTATTCTCGTCAGGCTGGTTTTCATGTGGATTGACTTGATATTTTTTTCTCCTCCTGAATCGAGAATACACACTAAGTCTAATGAATCCAGGTTCATTCACTCTGAGATCAATTTCAAACGACTCATGATCATCTCGAAGTATTCTGTCTTGGACAAAGAACGAGATATGTCCTTTATAAAGATTGAATGTTAGGCCGACCATATTGAATATCAGGATGGTGACCACTTTTGTTATGTACACAAAGAAATCTACATTCACCTATCAAACAACCACTGAAATAGGACAAGAAATAAGAAAGTAATAACAAAATCAATTCGATTCGGCACTTTGGCAAATACAGTTTTACTAAATACGGTCCTGTAGGACAAGGCATGTTTTACAGAGGACTTGTGCTAAAAGACAAATGCCAAGATTCCTCAACATTTCTCATTCAATTAAATTATAATGGGAGATACAAAAATCATGGGCTTGAAAAAAAAAGTGTAATTGTTTATTTGGCACCTATACTAAATACGACCCTGAGAACTTAATCTTTGGTCTTAGAGGATTGGTCACATGAAAACATTTGATCAGAAACTCCATACCAATAACAAATGTGAATTTCAGGAAAATCCCACTGTGGGCCAATTCCCTATGGTTTTGTGCGGGGTCCTTTATAATTTGTTTCAATTAAATGTCAATTGAACACCAATTGATAGTGAGTGAAAAGTTGAGATAGGGACATGTAAACCGTTTTGACGAATAATGAACAGTTTCGACAGAAAAAAATCCTGAACTTGGAAAATCTCGATTTTGCACACCCTATATGTCAGTAACTTTCACTGCTATACCCTAAGTATCTCGCTAAGTATGATACATCGTTGAAATCAGATCTGCAGGGAGAATTCAAAAATGAAATAAAATATAGGGTGTTCCGATGAAAAAAACATGATGTGCTGTGACCTTACGGAACACCCTGTGTATTCCGAAAAAAATTTTGAAATGTGAAGCTCGGTTATCACTTTAATTTGAATGCAAAACTTTTTTTTGTATCTCTCAAGACAACAGAGGTATCGAACTCTGGATTCTTAGTTGGCCACCCTGTACAGGGTGTATCTAAATAACACCGAAAAAATGCAAGCAGTGTTTCCTTGTGATATTCCAGCAGATAAAGTTCATATAAACGTGTGTACTAACTTGCTCCGTTTTTGAGATACAGGATGTTGAAGTTAGAAGTATTGTTTTTATTTATAACCCCCCTATATAAACTTCCATGGTGCCAAAATTCAGTATGGATGGAGACTGAGAAAGTCCCAAAATTTCAGAATGATTCTAATTGGGGTTATTGAGTAATCTCAATAGAAGTCTTGAAATTTACCTACATTAAAATTTGGAGAGACAATTCAGAAATGAATAAAAAATATATTTTTCATGGAAATGTTAACACTCTGTATCTCGAAAATGAAGCGAGTTAGGACACATATTTATATAAACTTTATTTCCTAAAATATCACAAGGAATCACCCCTTGAATCTTTTCGGTATATTTGATGATTTAACCAGTCTTCAAAACTTCATATTATTTTGATTCGTGCCAAGCTCAAATACATGTGAAGCGGGAGAAGGCATAATTTTTTGTTGCACAACCCTGTAGAAACGATGCAGTGGGTCGGGTCAATTCTCTAAATTACAGTTAATCAAACAAATTGAAACGGGCACATGTGAAGGCAATGAAAATTGTTCATAATATAGAGAATGAACGACTGCTATCTGTCTTCTTATCGTACAGGGATTAACTTTTATCTTCGGAAACATTTTGGAGACCTCATTGGAGACAATAATTGATTGTTATTACGAACAGTGTTCATCAAATACAAAAATATACCCAACACCACAATAATATTTAGAAAAAACGTATTTCGGCAACTATTTTGCCATCTTCAGTAGAACTGAAAAGGAAATTAGGATGTGCTGACCCTACAGTAGCTTGCTTCAATGTATGTACAGTCGTATTCAATAAAAAAGCGTACAAGTATATTGCAGAGATAAATTAACGTCATCCTATTTGCGTAAAATGGGCTATCGGGAATGAATGTTTACCAAATGTTGACAGTAGAGTAATCATAGGTCCTAAAAAACACAAAGCATTGGCTGAGCCAATTTTACACAACGAGAACTAGAATGCCGAAATCTTCTATGTTTAATACTTGTACGCATTTTTATTGAATACGACTGTACATCATTCCAAAGTAACACAAAAAGTTTGGAACTAAGAATGATTTCTGAATCTTGAAACATATTAACTGTTCCCTATAAAGATTAATGTCAATATTTTCCATACTTTTCGATTCCCTATGGATTGTAACAAGTTGGAGAAGTCTCAAATCATCTAAAGTGATCTGGTGACTCGTCTCGATAATATTTTGGACAACATTGAAGTGAGCAATATACTCTTTGAATATTGTACATATGCGTCAACGAGTTCGCCCAATATATTCCACGTTACAGGCAATTTCCATAGGTAGTATTTTTGAATCGCAAGAGATGGACGTAGCTTTCACTGCAAAAATACCATCCATAGTCTTCTGTAACGACTGTACCATGAAATATATCGGGCAAACAAGTCGAAGCATAGGCACAAGATGTGAAGAACATATTTCTCATTTCAGATTTAATCGGTTGGATAAATCAAGTGTTGTCTAACATTTTTTCGAGACGAGCTACCCCTACCCAATCACTTTTGATAATTCAACACTCCTCAAATATATTACAAACAATAGGAAATTGAACAGTTTGGAAAGTATTTACATCGATCTTGATAGGGATATTTATGTTAACATGATCCACGATTTGAAGATCTAATCACTCATCTGTAATTAGAGATAGAGATCTGCAGTGTCCTACTTCAAATAATTTTCCTCTCTCTATCTCATTTAGTAGTCATGTGATGGTATTAAATATCATTACTATAATCACAATAATTTTTTCAGAAACAAACATTATTTTGGACAATGTCGGGAATCTTTATTGAATTAAAATAAGTAAATTTTTCGAATACTTTACGCATTTTTCACAGAATCACTAACCTCACATTGTAATATCTTTTCTTTTACTGACTAATAACCTAACACAACTAACTGTCAATAATATAACAACAGGAAGTCTACTACAATGGCAAAATAAAATGAGGAAGTTGATAGTTCAGAACCTATATGCTGATCGTGGTTCTGATAGTGATAAGATTAATTCTGTTACATTGAATTTCTCATCACCTGATATACAAGGCGATTCAGTGGCATGTGCCATATATTGAAGGTTGAAGGACTTGGAGACATATCTAAATTATAAAAAAAAATCCTGAAAATGTTTCTTTACTGAAATATAGGGTGTTGAAGTGTGGGCAGACGAAACAGTATAATTCCACAGAATGGATCAATGTTTCTGATTTTTCTGGAAAATTCCGGGTACAACAAAAATAATCATCAATGTCATAGATTCAAGGGTCATATAATGACACCCGAAATGACACCTTTCATTACCTAAAAAATTCTGAATACTTAGGTGTTTTTAATTTTCCTACAAAAAGGTAAACAATATGGTTGTTATGGAAGAGATATGTCAAAAATATTGCCACTTTCAATTTTTTTTGCGGAAATATTCAATTTATAATGGTGAATTCATAAGGAGATTCATAAACTCAACTAACAATTATGAATTAACAATAAGGAATTAAAAATTAAGAAGAAAGAAGATGTTTATGAACTAGAAATATGTTAGTTGGGACTGATAACATGATACTCATCATTTCAAGATTTTCATCCATTATATTGATATTTTGTTGCATGGATTAATTCCTTATAGTAATTTATGTTAGTGTCTCATCTTTTTTTTTTCAAATATCTTCTGGTGCAATTTTTGAATCGTATGTCAAGACTGTCAAGTCATGAAAAAATCTGATAAGCATTCTTTTTCCTAATTGTTAATTCTTAGTTGTTAATACTGGTTTATGGATTCAATTAAATTAACAATCAGGAATAAACAATTAACAATCAACAAATAATGATCATGAGGGTGTTTATACATATCTGATATCAATTGAGAATTGAATGTGAAATGTCCTTTGATTAAGGATCAAAATGATGTGATTTTGTTCTCCACAATTCATGAATCCATAAAAAATATTCCAATATCACCAAACTCCACCTGAACAATCTTTATGTTCTGTCTCCAGAATTTCATAATTCTTAGTTGTTAAGTTGAAAGTTGACCAACTTTAAAATTCTAAATTCTCGATTTAAATGACAGATGTAGATGTATAAACCCTCATAGATGTTTCCTTGTATTCAACTTTTTAAGTTCATACTTTTTAGTTTAGTTCTTAGTTTAGTTGAATCTATTAACCCAGCATAAAGATAGAATATGGCAATTTTCTTAGTTGTTAATTCTAAATGTGAATGACAAATGGAACTTTTATAAACCTAAATATGACATTTAGGTGGATTCATCTTTATTGCTAATTCAATTCTTAGTTTAGTTGTTTATAGATTCATCATAAAGGATTGTAGGAAAAGGAGAATCCTGATATTCATTATTTATTTCATTTATCACAAACTGATTGGGATGAACTAATATCGGGCATTCACTGCCAAAATTCAAACATTGTTAGTGAAAGGCTTGTTATTGTATTTGCCAAAATCGAGGTCAAAATATCCTATGAAAAAAACAATATAACATAACCTCTAGAATCTTATTTACTCAACAAATCACTATGTACTTTACAATTACATCGTAGTACCTACTATATTATTTTTTATACAACCTGATGACTTATTGATAAAGAAACGTTGAATACCTACTATTCAACACAAATGATTAGAAAAAAAAAAGGGTGAATTCACCTTCCTATTTGTTTTTCTTGAGACTTTTCAAGGAATTCAAAGAGCAGTAGTGAAATCAGAGTAACAGAGAAAGGAATCAATTACTGGGATAATTAGGTACATTTACTTTTAACATTAGAAAAACATAAGTGAAAATTACATGCATTTTGACATTCGAGATGTTGATAATATGGAAACAAACCTTGGTCCTTGTGACAATGTGAGTAGCCAGTTTGACTACGGCAAAGTTGCCTTTGCCTATTGTTTTCTCCAGCTCGTAGTAGCCTACGCGCACCAACTTTTCCACGGGAAAAGTTTTAGTGGCCATTTTCACCAGATTTCCCTATCCCTTATCTCCATAAATACACATTACATTGACCATTTCATCGACCACAAGATTACCTACAACCTACAACAGGCTACATTTTAGGAATTAGTAATTTAGTACGTTTTTTCGCATGTAGATCTCGCTTGTCATTTACGTCACTTGACAATCCGTTGACGTCAGAGGGTGTTTGGAGTTGCAATTTTTTATGTGTCTGGATCAATTGAAGAGGGTTGACTTTCATCGAATTCTTCTTGTGAACCTTGTTCTATCACTATTACAAAAATAATGTATAGGTCGTAGTCGTAGGTAACCTATGAGATAACTCAGATAAGGAAAGGTGACATTTTGTATGAATGGTTGCATAACTGACTGATAAAACTTATATATGATATTAGCTCGTATACCAATAATACAGGGTAATACAGGGTTATGGAAAATTAAGCTACTTATATTCCAATTTTTTCCAGTAGATAACAGCTGTCAACTAATATTCTGGGATATACAGGGTTGGGCAAAAGTATGGAACCAGGTGAATATCTCGGTAACCGTTTGTTAGATTTTTTGAATATATGTACAGGGTGATTTCATAACGCGGTGGATTTGAAAATGTTATCGTCGATGTTGCCACTCTTTCAGTTCTTCCGGAATTATTATTAACTTCCTTATTTTAAATAGGACACCCTGTATTTTTCTCAATTCTCAGATTCTCCCTGAAGAGTTGATTTCATCGATTCATCATACTTGGGGTCTAGCAAGAATGATTACTGAGATATAGGGTGTTCAAAATCGAGAATTTTCAACTTTAGAATTTTTTTGTGTCGAAACTATTCATTATCGGTCAAAACGGCTTTCATGTCCCTATCTCAACTTTTGATTTACTATCTATTGGTATTTAATGGAAACAGATACAGGGTGATCAGACTTCTGAATCTTGAACCACCCTGTATTTGTTTCAATTAAATGTCGGTATAGATAGTGAATGAAAAGTTGACGTAAGGATATGTGAGCCGTTTTGACCAATAATGGATAGTTTCTACACAAAAAATCCTAAAGTTGAAAAATCTCGATTTTGAACACCCTATATATTTCAGTAATCATTCTTGCTAGACCCCAAGTGTGATGAATCAATGAAATCAGCTTTTCAGGGAGAATCTGAAAATTCAATAAAATACAGGGTGTTCTATTCAAAATACGGAAGTTAATAATAATTCTGGAATAACTGAAAAAGTGGCAACATCGACGATAACATTTTCAAATCCACCACGTTTTGAAATCACCCTGTACATATATTCAAAGAAATCTAACAAACGGTTACCGAGATATTCACCTGGTTCCATACTTCTGCCCAACCCTGTATATACAGTGAGCACGTGAAGTTTGAAGCTTGATATATGGCTATCGCTAAAAAAGTTCAGACATGTCGATTTCGCATTTTTCAGATGTGCATTTATTTATTTATTGGTCTACTCATATTATCGTTGACGTCATCATAATTACATAATTATAAAGGAAATCTCTATAATTTATCTGAAAAATACGGTTATGTAATATGAGAAAAAATTAAGAAAAAATGTGACGTTCATATAAATAAAAAATGTTTTCTCTTTGTAGGTATTATAAAAATAGGGTATTGCCATTTGAAAAAAAATTATAATGGTGTCATAACTTGAACAGTGAGGACGTAATCAAAAATATGAGACCAAAAAATGCGCAACTGAAAAAAAAGCATCGACCTGTGTCTGAGTTTACCTCTTTTCCTACAGCGAATGTCAGTTAGTTTTTATAAATGCTGTTATATTCCCATTTACTGAAAAACAAAATACATATTCAATCAGGTATCTTCTCAGCTTTATAATACAGATTAATTACTGAAGATTTTTCATTTCATTTAGGATATTTACCCAGGAAAAAAGACAATAATAACTAGATGAATATCAGGTATATTCATTCCATTGGAATGTGTGCTTTTATTTCATTTTGTAAATTAGATATAATGAAGCAACTATACTGTAGATTCCTGAAAAAAACACATTGTAAAAAAATATCAATTCAAATAAATAAAAAATAAAAAAATAATAACTATCCACTCTTACAATCAAATCCCTGATTCACAAGAATAAAACATACATAAATATTCTTAGGTTCTTAAAAAAATAGATTACAGCAAACTAATGATCTTTTGAATATTCAGGTCAAAAAATATTATAAAAAAATTTCAATCATTGAGAAAAACAATAAATACCTGTTTCATAAAATACTATGGCAAGCTTTTTAGGAATAAGATATACTGCTCCACAGAATCAGTGTGTGTTCCTATAATTTTGTGAAACATCTCAAACATTATCCACTGTGATTCCTATCCTAAATTTAGCGTTAGTATCCAGCAAACTAACTCGAATATTATTCTCAAACCTACTCTTGATACTAGAAAACTCCATAATATCTTTGGGTTTGCACTCCAACCAAAACCTATCAAACTCATAAAACAAATAGCTATAAAACTGATGGAAAATCCTTATTGAAGGCAAACTCCTCGAACTATTATAAACATAAGATTTAGCACTACCATCTTTCATCAGCACCCAAGCCAAACTAGTGAGATTTATACCCACAATGGCGAAACAATACCCGTATACAGGGTGATGCGAATGAGACAGCACATGTTGAGCAGGTGCCCGGTACTCAGTAGCAAAAAACAACAGATTATCCAGACCCAGAAGACCCATGCCTCGAAAATCTGTCTTGGGATCTTCCCCTTGGAACCCAATATCTTGCCACTGTTTGGTTATTCGCCCTGTGAAATTAGAGATCAGTAACAAGATATTATAGGGAAAATTAGTGAAATTACCGTCCAATTTCTCTTGAGGCATAAGACGCTCCCAAAGCTCATACAGTTTCTTCTCATGAGCAGCATTTTCACTGTCAAAGGAAGTAGTCCTCAGTTCTTCAACTTGTGCAATTAGCTGTCTGTAGCCCCATATCTGTTCGATGCACTTCCCAAAGCTAGTCACGAATTGAAAATGCACTTTGGGATTGATTTTCTTGACTAATAGGACTGTGCTCACTGCTCCTCTCAGTATTTCCCTTTCATTGGCCCCAGTGAAGCGTTGGTTGTCAGATATGTTATTCAGGTGGGTAATCAGTTGCTTAAAATAATGATACAGGTCTATTGATTGTGACTACAGTTTTTTCTTTATATTTTACCTGTATTTGCATTGATCTTGACATCAATAGGGAATACTCCACTGCTTTTATTCTTGGACCCCCACTGATTTCTCCATAGCAGACTCTTTGGAGCTCACACAATCCTGTTGTTCTTCTCAGGAACCACTTCACTATAGGTCGTATATAGTAACTCAACAACATCCATATTGAGAAATTCATTTTCAAAATGAACTAGCAAAATTTTTAGATATTTTCTCACATTTTCAAGCTTTGTTGACATTTATGACATTGCCCAACATTAACCGTTGTCTGGCAACCAACACTACGCCAAATTTGAGTGACATCTTTCTTAAAACAACAGAAATACACCACAACAGCTGAATTTTGACAGTAGTTCAAATGGAATGTACCATAATATTTGTAAATATCAAGTTAGGTTATGTTATTTGAAATTTTCTTTTTCATTCGAATTTCGAAAAATGTGTCCAAACGAATCAAGCAGCAATGTTCCCAAAATTATAATCGCCAGTTATCTCTGTGTTCGTATATATTTCATTCGAATAATGCCTTTTAAAAGCAAAGTGCTCTAAGATGGTTGTAGTTTTCAAATTAAAAAGGCGATTTTTTGCCTCGAACCGTATTATCCTTATATTATTTTTTTCTGTGATACTATGTCTTTGGGTAAGCTTCATTTTTGCCTAAAAATATATGTAGAGATTTGCAGTAACCCCAATTTTTATAGATCATCTACATCACAACTCAGAAAAATGATGCAAATTATAACTGTGTTTATCAAGAAGAAATTGATGTAGTTTATACTTGGGTGAATGGCTCAGATCCTCTATTTTTGACAAATCTCAGAAATTATTTGAGAGGTAAAAATGAAAGCTGTGATATTTCCAAACAAAGATATGATGATAAATATGAGCTGAAATTTTCTTTGAGGTAAACAGATTCTACTAGTGGAAATAATAATTATTGAAGTTTCTAAGATGTATTTTTAGATCTCTGGAAATCTTTGCACCTTGGGTGAACCATGTTTATATTGTAACTAATGGTCAAATACCCTCCTGGTTGAACCTAGACTATGAAAAAATGACTATTATCACTCATGAAGACATCTTCAGAGATTCCTTCAATTTACCAACATTTTCAAGTCCAGCTATTGAATCCAATTTACACAGGTCAAGACCACCCCTAACAAAAATACAGTTCCTTCACTGAAATTACTTTTTTCAGAATACCAGGGCTATCAAAAAGATTCATTTATTTCAATGATGATATGTTTCTGGGGTCTCCATTGTACCCAGAGGATTTTTATTCGCCAGGTAGGGGTTTCCTGGTGTATTTGGCACACCCTGTACCAAATTGTTCACCCAGCTGCCCGTGGATGCACGTTTCTGATGGCCAATGTGATAGGGAATGCTTTGTTCCTCAGTGTCAAATGGATGGAGAAGATTGTAGGGAATCCAATAAAAATGTTGGTAAAATTTTCTAGATCCAAAAATTAACTGATTACTTGATTAGAAATATGTGAAATCTAAATCTCCTATACATCCATCAGATTCAATAAATTCCTTTCCTATCCCTAAAAACATACCTAAAAAAAATTTCAATTGCCCTTCAATTTGTTATATGAACCCTTTTATTTACCGACGGCACTGTGTAACATGACAATTGTGACATTTGCTAAGCAATGATTGGTAGAAATGAAACAGGCTGTTCAAATTAGAAGGATTTTTGATATATACTCACTGAACTATCCATATAAAAAACGATGTCTTCTTGAATCTTGATGCATTACAATACCCTGTAGGTAGTTTGTTAACGAACCCTACATGGGAGTATGTAAACTAGTATGTCCTCAATATATTTCTAGAAGATCTATTGCCAACTTCATTCACTAGGGAAAATATTGAATCACCCTGTGTAAATTCCTGAAAAAATACACAAGATATTCAGAAACATGGAAGAAAGTTATCAATTCTTGAAATTTCTAACAGTTGAAGCAGAATTCAAATCTTGGATTCAAGATTTCAAATGTGAATTTAGTTATATGACAATATACGGGGCGGGGTAGCTGGTACCAGCTGGTACGCATGGTGATCTTTGAAGTGTGATGAAGAATTTCACCAAAACTTATACAGTTTTATCGAAAATGTCTAGTCATTTGGAATATTTTGAACTCCGTGTGATTGTGCCTATCACATGGAAATTTCAACAGAGGTGACGCCAGATTTGCTACAGTGTAGAACTTTGGGTGGAAAAACGGGTCTAACCTCAAATTTCATTTTGATCCCTAAATTTTTGTTATTAGTGCCATTCTATAGTACACCTCGAGCTTTCTCAGTATTTGAAATATTTGCACTTATTTCAATGCCACCCTGTATATTACAATTATATGCACATTTAAATTGAATTCACGCATTTGTGTCCTTGCCTAATTATAGATTCAAAATAATATTAATTGAGAACTATGTATTCTTGGTCCAGGAAGGCGTAGTTTTCGATAATACAAAGTGTGTCAAACATGTATTATGAAATATTTGAAAAAAAAATAATCTTCATTCAGATTCTACGTCTATGGGCATGGATCACACATTTAATTACACCCCTGTTTTTGATGCAATGTTTTGCACAAATTTTTACAATGAATTGGTATTTATTTGTTTCCACGGAAACGCAGCAAAATAGCAAAACAATTCAAGAGACTAAAATGGAGTATTTTCAGTTGATCATAAGAATTCAAAAAAATCAGTGGCGCACATTTTATTGACAATGTTCGGTAGGCTGCCCCGGGACGCCACTGGATTTCACAATTCCAATTTAATTATGGCTAAATCAGCCCCTCATAACAAAGAACATCATTGCTAAATTTCAAGAGAATCGGTGAAAGGATTATAAAAAACCGATTTTTTTCTAAAAAGTTTAACGCACTGTATCTTGGAAACTATGCATTTCCGGACCCAAGTTCATGTTTTCTCATGCAGAATCACTCTCTAGATTTTTTACGCAAAATTTCCGGACACCCTGTATTATCAACTTTCTTTCCTAAAATATCACAAGGAAGTTTGTCGTACTTATTCACTAACACCCTGTATAAGTTATGGAACATGATTTTTTCCGCGTTTCAATGCTGACTTTGTTACATTCACTTGCAGAAATCCACTCGTCTTCCCAAAGACTCATCTATTGAAGACCTCGAGAGTATCAAGGAAGAAAACGAAACCAAAGCCTTGGTCCTCGCAGATACCATCAAAAAAGTGCGTTTAAACTTCTACAATTCATTCATGAAAAAAATTAGCCCACAACCTTCCACCATAAAACCGGACACCTTGAAAAACATTTCCGACATAGTGAGAAGACACAACATCCTGGTGATGAGAAAAGAAAGACTGAGAAGGAAAATCCGCAGAAAAAACGTCCACAGATGGGCAAATCGAAAACCCAGCACCAACATCGATGCGTACGGTCACTCTTTGCAGCACACCAACCGCATGCTGAACCGGAGATTCGGTTTCAGAACGAGGCACGTTTCTGCGCATGCCCCCATTTTGATCGACAGAGTCATTATGGGGGATTTACAGAGGACCTTTGCCAAAGAGATCGAGGTTACCGAGAGAAATAGGGTTAGGAAAGCCGACGATGTTCAGTTTTCTTTTAGCTACTATAGTTTCCTACTAGCGGAGACATTGAACAGAACCGTAGATGACATTTTCGAGGATTTTGATACCGACCAATCTGGGTAAGTTTCGTTTCATCAAGATAACAATCATAATGCTGGGTTTATAGATTCAATTAAATTAACAACTAGGATTCAACAATTAACAATCAACAATTAATAATCATGAGAGTGTTTATACATATCTCATATTAATTACGAATTAAATGTGAAATGTATTTTGATTAAAGATCAAAATGATGTTACAAAGTGATTTTGGTCTCCACAATTCATGAATCCATAAAAAATATTCCAATTGAATATCACCAAACTCCATATGAACAATAACAAATCCGATCTTCATGATCTGTCTCCAGAATTTCATAATTCTTAGTTGTTGAGTTAAAAGTTGTCCAACTTCAAAATTCTTAATTCTTGATTTAAAAGACATCTATTGCAATTCTTATACATCCAAAAACTAGGAAGAATCGCGAGGAATCATTGTTAGGTATCGAACGGGCTTGGGAATTGAGTGGTACACGGATATCAAGGGAGAATGAAAACATTCAAAATTTACAAGTAATTACGGGGAATTACAAGGAATCACGAGGGATTACAAGGGGTTCAAAAGAATCGCCACCACTTTTGAGGAGTGTTGAAGTTGTTTTACTCGGAATGTGTCTTGTCCAGCGAATGTTTGTCAAATACTTAGTTATATTGTTTTTCAGGACCTGGTCTGATAGAGAAATAAGGACATTATTGACCAGAATGTATGAATTGCCATTGAGTTATGAGGTAGTGGATCATTTTGAAATGATTTTGCTGAATTGCTCAGAAGCTGGTGTTTCTCCAGAGACATCTACCTCTTCATACGAGAGATATATGAACTCAAGACTGGTAAATCCTATCAATTATAATTAGACGTACGTAGGTCCTTGTGGTAAATTAATAGATTATAAAATTTGAAGTTGAGAGTTTCATTAAAGAATATAGATGTTCTTTCTGAAACCATTTTTTTATTTTCAGCCTATGATTTCAAAAAATTTCGTTGCAAGGTGTCCATCATTGACTGAAAAGCTGCTTCATCATTTTGGCCTGAAGCCTAAATACAAATATCAAGTAATCGACGATTCAGAAAGTAAATATGTTTCTTTCAAAATGTTGAATTCAGATATAAATTTTGTTGCTGGCTGTTTGGACGACATAAGAAGAAATAGAAGGTAAGGCAAAACGACAAAAATCTTCAGCATCGCAAAATGTTAGGTTATGTGATGCCTCTTTTCAGGAGATTCATTTGCCTCAATGACAATCTTGATGCAACAAAGGAAGAAGAAAACGAACTTGTCACATCTCTATTATTGGATTTCTATCTTTCTCTGTTTCCTCATCCCAGCAAGTTTGAGCTACCTGATGACATCAGAAATAAGTTTTTGTACGTCAGAGATTTGAATGGCTGGAAAACCTACAGAAACAATATCAAAATGTTTATTTGTTGTGTGATTATTTTGATTCCTTGTTTCACCTTCCATAGTTTCTGTAAAAGGAGGTTCTGCCAGATTACTAATAAATTGTGTTGTTGAGAATGTGTTCAACTGAAATTGACTTGCATTTTTTGTTTTTGCTCCTTCGATTCGTCTGATTTTTTCATGGAATTTTCTGCTACTACTCTCTAATCGACTGACTTATCCAGTATCGAGAAACACTAGGATTGTTCTCGAAAAATTTTGATAGTTTACTTCTTCGCAAAAAGTTCGTCCTGTATATCGTTTTTGTAAACTGTGACAGGGAATTTTCAAAGGTTACAAACAAACATCAAAAATAAAATATTCCATATTCTCCTCACACTTTCACTGCAATTTAAAAAAAAAACGATAAATTTTATGAAAAAACGAAAATTTGACTAAAAATATATTTTTTCTGTGACGGGAAAAAAGTTTGGCATTTCATCTCTGTTGGCAGGTTATAAAATGTCACTTTTCATAAATTACTTCTTTCCCGGATATATAATCACATATATATATACACTGTTGATGGCTTTTGTTGTGCTATAGTTCCGAAAAATGAGTCAATATAATACCGTCACCGAGAAAAAACTGCAAGTCCTTTTATCTTGCATTCGACTTCGCGGTTACGTATATTACTAAACAACCACTAAATTCGCAATTTTCTGAAATCAATTCACAGAATAAGACTGACAGAAGTGACATCAGATATTTGATTACTGCAAAAGAATGATAAAGATGCCTACAGCGCAGGTGTCCCTACAGCTAAAAACTTGAAAGTTCACGTAGATAATTTTCAGATTTCAAAATAATGTAATATCTTCTCAATATTGATTCGTCCTTTCTTATGTCACAGAAAAAAATAGTGTATTATACACGGGAAAAATATTAGATTTTAGCTCACGGTTTTTTGTCTCCCTCCGCTACGCGTCGGGATACAACACAACCTGGAGCTAAAATCTACTACTTTTTTCCCTTGTATAATAAATAACTATTCATTTCCAGGCCTGGATTTAGTAATTGAATTTTTTGTGGAGGATAATAATCACCCTGTAGATCTTTTTTGAATCACTGGATGAGGTATCTGTGTGTTCGACTATCTTAAATTATTTGATTCGATATATTAACAGATACCCCATCCACTGATTCGAAAAAGATCTACAGGGTGATTATTACCCTCCACAAAAAAATTAATGACGAAATCCAGGCCTGGAAATGAAAGAACATGTTGATTTCCATTGGGCTGAAGCATTCAAAATGCGAGTCTCACTTTTATTTGTGAAATTTATGCATTGCGAAGTAATTATTTTCGAATGAATGAATGTATTGTCAAACTTTTGTTTTTGCTTATAATTTATCGTTTTTTGGAAAATTCTGTGGGAGTGTGAGGAGAATTTTGAATATTTTATTTTTGATGCCTGTTTGTGTGCTTTGAAAATTTCCTGTCACAGTTCACAATAACCATATACAGGATGCACTTTTTGATGGCAGCTAAACTATCGAAATTTCTCAAAAACGGTCCTGAATTTTTCCGATTCTGGAAATGTCAGTGGATTAGGGTTCAGTAGAGGATTATTCCATGGAATAGAAGGAGCCGTTGAAAAGTTATCGCCAGAAGATGTTTTTGCCAAATCTCATAATTCATCCTATATATTGGCATAGAGAAAAAGACACTTTCTGATGGTCATTCCGCTATTCGTGGTATGAGTATGTACAGTTCCTCATGACTCACCCTGTATAACAGATTTCTCTAAGTTTCTCGTGGTTTGTGAACATTACTTCTAGTATTACTCACCAGATGGCGCCAGCTGACGGTTCTAGGATGACGATATAAATGTGGGCGGAGCTACAGCCTTTTTCTACATTCCGCCAATATTTTAGATTCATCGGATATTTCTGAAAAGTATCGCCTCAATAAAAACGATGTTGCACAACCATGAAGCCAAAGATTGAACCTAAAAGAACCAACTTTGTTGCAATGCAAAAACAATTGAAAAAACTTGTCGTTCCCATCGAAATATCAATAAAATAAAATTAAAAAAACACAATCCATTCATGGAGCGCATGCCCGCCATAATAAGATTTGTGGTCCATTCACAATGATATACCACGTTTTTCCGGCTAAAATAGGACTCGAATAAACTCTTTCTTTCAAAAATACTCCAGCAACTCCAAATTCCCAGGTGATTTTCGCGGTAAAATTTGAATTAATACCGTGTTATTAAGTGTTGGGCGTGTTTTAGGCCAAACGATCATCGACATACGTCTCGCGAGATTTGTAGCTACACGTTAGCGTCACCGGGTGAGACGAATGTGCGGAACGTCCGTCTGTGATGACAAATTAAAGGCGTAGCCATTTTGATTTTGACGAATATTGACATACGTCTTGTCGTCTAGACGGAAACTCATTTGTTACTGCAAGAGTGACATGTAAACACTCCAAAATTCATTGTAAAGTACTTCTGTCACATGGTTTTCTATTCAAAATGTTTGTTATTGTTGATCAGTGATTCGAAACGAATAAGGGTAGTTGATTTTCTGTGAATTTTCGATGGTTTGTACTTTTTTTATCGCGTTTATTGAGCTGGCCGTGCCGGGATTATTCAAATGTTTTCTGTGATGTGAATCATTTTTGGACCAGCACTCTTTGATGGATTTTGAAGTATTTTAAAAATGTAAGTACTTTTACATAAAATTTCACGTATTTTTTTTCAGTAAAAATACATCATAAGTATAATTTTTCTGTTCTTATCGGGAGAAGAAATTGTAGCGTTGGAAACTGTTAAATGGTATTTGCCCTTCAATGAATTTTTCTTCTTTTTAACACAATTAGCTTATTGCCATGCTTAGGTTAGATTTTTGGAAGGTAAACTGTAAACACCATTAGCACAGAGGTGTGGAAAGCATTATATTTTACACTTCAGTGTAAATTTCAGTAATCGTTATTGGTGATAAATATAATCATCATGTATATAGCAACGCAAAACGCTCTATAATTGACTCTAATAGTATCTAATTATGTATAATAGCTTCATTACTATACGGATATGGATGTAAGATAGGCCTTATTTTATACACTTTTGTTACTATTAATTTTTGATACCTACCAACCCACTGAACATATAAAGATATTAAGTAGAAACGTTTCTGAAAAACTTTGTAGTTTGTCACAAAAAAAAAATTGCAGCATCCAGGTAAAATATTTTCCTTTATTTTTCGCTTCTAGTTAATTTATGCACACTTCAAAACAGGTATATAATACAGATTTCTTAGTTTGGTTGGGTAGGACCATTTAGGTTCAACCAAAGTTTCACCTGACATTGTAACATACCCAGAGGCACTATAATACCATAATTCATATCATGGTCTGTTATTCTTAGAATTCATTAATTGAACAGGTATATATTTTGAACTACCTACAATTAATTTTCACTTACCAGGGCTTTACATACTTACCTGTATGCTTCACTCCTATACATGTACATAATAAATTTATTAAAATAATTACTTACTCACATTTCCTAAGTCATTGTTGGTTTTTCTACCATAGCCTCCTAAAGATTAGTAAAATAACTTGACACCATATCCCAACACGTACGATGATAGTGACGAAATAACGAGACGTTCGATCTAATTTGGCGTTTTTTTAGAAGAAAAAAGTTGTTAGGGTAGGTAGTTGAGGATCGAGAGTGAAATTACCCACTTTGAGAGCGAATTTGAAGTGTTTAGTCAGTTTTTATCGGAACGCTCTGTACAGCAGAAATATACGGATATTTTGACTGAAAAATGGTATTCACGAAATTTCCAATTACAAAATCTTGAAACGAGCTCTGACCGACCCCAGGGGGGCTGGGGAAAAAATTCAAAAACTTTTCATCGTGTATTTTCATGAGATAAATCGATTTATGGTGAAATTGAGATGATTTGACTCTCAAAAATACCCAGTCCGCAAGATTTTATGAAAAAACACAAGAGTGAAGTGCTCCCCAGGGGGGCTGGGGAAAAAATTGAAAAAGTTTTCATCGTGTATTTTCATGAGATAAATCGATTTATGGTGAAATTGAGATGATTTGATTCTCAAAAATACCCAGTCCGCAAGATTTTATGAAAAAACACAAGAGTGAAGTGCTCCCCAGGGGGGCTAGGGAAAAAATTGAAAAAGTTTTCATCGTGTATTTTCATGAGATAAATCGATTTATGGTGAAATTGAGATGATTTGACTCTCAAAAATACCCAGTCCGCAAGATTTTATGAAAAAACACAAGAGTGAAGTGCTCCCCAGGGGGGCTGGGGAAAAAATTGAAAAAGTTTTCATCGTGTATTTTCATGAGATAAATCGATTTATGGTGAAATTGAGATGATTTGATTCTCAAAAATACCCAGTCCGCAAGATTTTATGAAAAAACACAAGAGTGAAGTGCTCCCCAGGGGGGCTAGGGAAAAAATTGAAAAAGTTTTCATCGTGTATTTTCATGAGATAAATCGATTTATGGTGAAATTCAGATGATTTGACTCTCAAAAATACCCAGTCCGCAAGATTTTATGAAAAAAACACAAGAGTGGAGTGCTCCCCGGGGGGGTCATAGAAAAAAAACTGAAACTTCTCATCGTGTATATCGGTGAGCTGAATCCAGATATGCAATAAAAACATCGAAAAGTTTGATGAAAATAGCCAGTCCGCAAATTATACACACTCCCCATTATGCTAGCAGAACTATTTATTATTTTTAAATTTTTTCTTCGGTCATAATTTAAGGCTAATTTAATACACCATTGCCGAATTTATTGCTCTTCGATTTATGCAAAAAACGTGGGTTCTGCTAGCTTTACCGTTAAGCTAGCAGAACCAAATCTCAAATAGAAGGAATATAAGGATATTGAGTACACCATAATTTAAGGCTCTTCATTGAACCTATTGCCGATTCTTTTGCACATTGTTCTTTTGCTAGCTCAACTGTTAAGCTAGCAGAACCAAATGTCAAATAGAAGAAATTTATGGATATTGAGTACACAATGAATCAAGGCTAATTCAAGGTTCTTCGTTGAGCCTATCATCGTTTTTTTGTTTATCATTTTCTGCCAAAACTTCCCCAAATCGAACATTAGCGATTCAAAAAGAGATCAATTATTACGAAACGAATTATTCAATAATTCAAGGCTAATTGAGGGCTCTTATCATAGCCTATTGCCGATTTTTTCGCACATTGTTTTTCATAATCATAGGTTCTGCTAGCTTGATGGTTAAGCTAGAAAAACCTATGATTTTTTCAAAAAAACAATGTGCGAAACAAACGGCAATAGGCTAGGATAAGAAGCTTCAATTATTAGTCTTAAATTATGGTATAATGCGTTTCGTGATCGAACATTTTTTGGTTTGCTCTTGTTGGTAATTTTTTTGCAGGAAATGATCAACAAAAAAAATCGATAATGAAGTCTTAAATTAGCCTTAAATGATGTGATTGAACTTTTATTCACGAGCAGAACCCACGTTTCTTTGCATAAATCGAAGAGCAATAAATAAATGTAATGAATTAGCCTTAAATTAGCCTAAAATTATGGCCAAAGAAAAATTCAAAGTGGTTCTGCTAACCTAATGGCGGTCTCTGACCCAGGCTCTGCCATTGCCAAAGTTTACAGAATTAAAAATACATTGCTGAGAGTATATTATTTTTTAGCGTGGTTTCCACAGATACTTACAACATCAAATAGCACATTAAATATACTTAGATGAATATATTTCAGAGGTGGAATTATAAAATGAAAATTTTGCGTTTTCGACCCCCTATTGTAGCCCCGTATTTTCTCCGCCCCTGTGTAGCAACGCCATGTCTGTTTTCTTTCCATTCGAGTTCTCGGTACATGTCTAAAATGTTTATGGCTGTTTAGCTATAATTTGAATATAAGGTGAAATATAGTGCTTTACAGTTTCTGCATTGGAATAATAGAATTGCTGTTAGCGACTCCCTTATTCTTATTCTCCTTCTTTTCTTCGTGATTCCTGGGACGAGAAAGAAATAATTCATTTGCCTAGACATTTTGGATGGGACAGGATTTTCTAATTTCTCTATACAGGGAAATACATTCAGTCGGCCATCAAATGCCTCATTTAGATTTAACTATTTTCTTTAATCATTAGCAATTTTCGATTTTTCAGATGAGCCACCCTGAATACAATTCCATATTAGGACATCAAACGAATTCAGTAATTCCTTGAAATACCCTGTGATACATGTAAACCAAGATGTAAACCCTTGAAATAACTCTCAAATGTACTTGAAAATGCCCAGTTATTCCTTTACATCCCAGTAATTTGTCTCGAAATTTCTAGTCATTGCTCGAAATTACCAGTAATTCCTTCAAATTCTCAGTAATTCTTTGACGCTTCCTCGAAGTTCCTCAAAAATGCCCACAGGAACGCGGGCAGGAACGTCTCGATAATTATCTAGTTATTCCTTTTGATTACCTTTAATTCTTTGACATTCCAAGTAATTCCCTAAAATTCCCTGTCTCGTTCCTATAGAGTATAGTAGATCCCTGAACGAGTCCCTGAAATACCTTTTGGAGATACTAGAAATTGCTCAGTTATATCCTAAAATCCTCAATTTTCCTCTGAAACTCCAGAGCAATCGCTGGTCTCTCTCATACATTTCTTGAAACTGCTAGTAATTTCTTGAAATTCTTCTCGGAGATTCTTGAAAATGCCTTCAAGACTTAAAATTTCAAGTAATTCTTCAAAATTCCTTGTGATTTATCCTTGAAAATCTCCCAATAATTCCTTGAAATCTCCTGTAATCTCTTGAAATGTCCTGTTATCAGTGATATCACAGGACATTCTCAGTGAACCTTGGAACAACTCTGAAATTTATTGAAAATGCTTTCATTTCCGATTATTCCTTCAAATCCCAGTTTTTTGCCTTCAAATTCATAGTAATTGCCTGTAATTCCCTGTAGTTCTTTGGAACTACCAGTAATTCCACAATTCATTCAAGCTTCTTCTAAATTTCCTCAAAAATGCCCAGTTGTCTTTAGGATTCTCTTATTTTTTCAGTAATTCCTTCATATTTCCAGTCTCGCTACCAGCAGATCCTTGAAATGTCTCTTGGAGATCCTAGACATTGCTGCTATTTTCTTGATTTCCCTTCGATACTCTCAGTAATTCCTTGAAATTCACAGAAATTCCTAGTAATTTCTTGAAATTTCCAGTACTTGAAATTCACTGTGAATCCTTGGAATTCCTTGACATTCCCAAAAGTTCCTTGGAATCTCCTTTAATTTCTCGAAATTTCCTGCTTTCACTGGACATTCCCAGTGAACGTTGTAATATCTCTCAGATTTATTGAAAATACTGAAGATGTTGCTTGAAAATTAGAATCCCAGTAATTTGCCTTGATATCCATAGTAATCACCTGAAATTCCCTGTAGTCCTTTGGAACAACCAGTGATTCCTCGAAATTCCTAGTAATTCCTTGAAAGTTTCTCTTGAAGTTCCTCGCGAAGTTCCTCAAAAATGCTAAGTTGTCTTCAGATTGTCTTGATTTTTTCTCATTGATTCCTTTAAATTCCCAGTAGTTCCTTGAAATACCTCTAGCAATTGCTGCTATTTTTTTATTTCTTCTTTTTTTTCAATACTTTATTCTCAACCCCCCTCTCCTTTGATACTTCCAGTTAGTCCTTG